CTGCGGGATGACTATACACCTCGGTCATTAGGGTGAATTCTTATTAAAATTAAAATTAATTATTATACAACTCGATTCATGAAGCAACACCTGTTCGACCAGCCACCTGTTCCATGATATGCTGGTATAGGCCACATTCTCTGCCAAACCTTCCTCCTTCGGCCTCCCTTGGCTTCCATCCATGACTGTCACTGTCACTGCCATCAATTGTCAATTGAGTGAAACTGAAATGAATGAAAAATGTACAAATGTCATGAAGCTTCGACACGTGCATTGACTGCTGCAAGCGAACCTCCCATTTGTTAGAAAAGTTACATTCCCTGTCCACCCTCTCCAACAAGTCTGCCATCTGAGGTGATGGACGATTTCCATGGTGGGCAACCCCATAACCAACGATCACCACTCTCTTCGGCCAAACGTAGGTTCTGCCGCCCAGGAAAACTGACCTCGAAGTGTTGGAGCAGAAAGCAGCTGCCGAAGAGCTCGGGTTGTCAATAGAGCTCACATCGTCACCAGTAGCATCAATAGCCGGTTCGTGGTCTCTTGTTTCTCTCGGGGTCCTTCCACTTGCGTCCCCAATCGTCCGAGTCGTCTTCTTCTTTGCCCCGCCCCAAGTCACCGGAACTTTTCGTTGAGGCGTCTGCGGCTTTCTTGCTGCCGTAGTTCCCGACATCGAATTGGCTGTATGCTATCCCCAAGCTTTGATTGGGCCTCGAATGAACACGGAATTGTAATGATGAAAGTTTAAGCGCCAAAAAAAAGGGCTGCATCAATCTTTGCCAAAGTGCTCTCTAACGTTCTTGTTACAGGCTGACAGAATCCAGGCTTCTGGTTTCTGGATGCCGTCTCTTCCCCGTTTGAAAGCTCTCCTCAAATGTTCTTGCATTGAAACAATGACATGTCAGGTAGCAAATTATTCTCAATTGGAAATTGTCTGAAATGTACTGCAGGTGTCACAAGATCAACAGCCTTTCTCGGGCAGAGCAAATAGAGCAAGTAGATTGCTTGCTGTGCTTTCCGGAGATCCTGGCCCTGCTCCTCGAGACACAATTCCTCAGGGAGATGCTGGAGGGCCAGACTCGACATAGCACAACTTGAGCCAGAACTGCAGTATTAGGTTACAAGGGGCTCACAATCAACCACCAAGCAAGCTGACACACACACACACACACACTCACTGAGCCTTCCGCGCAAATATCACTCACATGCCTTCTGAAACGACTTCACCTGGCAAAATGCAAATTTCATGCCAGCCCTGCCCCCCCCCCGGCTCTGTCAAAACATGCCAGGCAGACCACTTGAGCCAGAACTGCAGCATTAGGTTACAAGGGGCTCACAATCAATCACCAAGCAAGCTGACACACACACACACACACACACACTCACTGAAAATATCACTCACATGCCTTCTGAAACGACTTCACCTGGCAAAATGCAAATTTCATGCCAGCCCTGCCCCCCCCCCGGCTCTGTCAAAACATGCCAGGCAGACCTTGCCATTGATGCTACCACAATAGTTATACTACCGCAAATCATGCTACCACAATTAGCGCTACCACAATTGTTGCTACCACAATTGACAAATTGATGCTACCAGAACTGATGCTACCAGAATTGATGCCACTGCAAAATCGAATCAACCAAGCCAAGCAATGCCATGCTGACTACCACAGTTGCTGCTACCAGAACTGATGGTATCAGAATTGATGCCACCGCAAAATCGAATCAGATGCCACCGCAACAATCGAAGCAATCAAGCCATGCAATGCCATGCTGACTACCACCATTGACATTGATTGATGCTACCAGAATTGATGCCACTGCAGCATCGAATCAACCAAGCCAAGCAATGCCATGCTGACTACCACAATTGATTGATGCTACCAGAATTGATGCCACTGCAGAATCGAATCAACCAAGCCAAGCAATGCCATGCCGACACAGTAACGGCCTCCCCAGCGTCTTTGCAAACACGAGTGTGCTCTGACAGTCATGCGGACTGGAGACTTCTTTAAATGCCACCCCCATTCGGCCAAGATGGGGTCACCCTGCTGAGTATGCGCCGTCTTTGCCCTATGCGGAGCGCTGAAATCCGATTGCCTTGCATACCGGCCCGCAAGAGGACAGGTCATGCTCGTCATCGAGTGCACCGGAATCGCTGCGCAACGCGCCGGTTACTGAAGACCTGTCAATGAGGCACAGCATAAGATGCCATGCGGGGCCATGCCGGCAAGCAGCAGTGATCGAAGTTAATACTTCGACCGTGGTGTGGGTACGTGGCATAGTATTTATTAATAGTAGCGAGGCCTTCCCTGCAATCTGTGTGCATTTCACCCCGCGGCGGACACACCACCTGGCTGGACAGGCGAGCAGCACACAGAGTAAATCCCCAGCGCCCGGCCAGCGACGCTGTCCCGCACGGATCAAGGACCCATTGCTCACGTGGTCCGAGCCCGACTGGAGCGGTCTCTAAGACCACTCTGAGCTGGGGCGTGCAGGATGGGTAGGGCGAGTCGAACCAAGCCAAGCAAGCCAAGCAAGCCAAGCAAGCCAACCAAGCAACCAAGCCAACCAAGCAGTGGCACGTGACAAAGGACCACGGTTCAGCTTCCAACACATCCGGCTTGGACAGAAGCGAACACCATCGCTCAATACATCCGGCTTGGACAAATGCAAAAATGTTTGGCAAAAAAGGGTTTCCTCACGCTGGCTTCCCAGTGTGCTTTAAACTGTTTTGGTCAACGGCCGTGCCCCCGGCACTGAAATTCCTAATAAAATACATAAATAAGCTAATACTACAACAGCTTGAAACCTTAAATCGGTATATTGAACTGCACTATTGAGGAAATTGGTTTTGGCCTTCAAACCCCCCTGATCCAGCCCCCAAGGATCCAACCCTCAAAACGAGTGTGTGGATTATTAAAGATTATTACTTCTTCTAAAGTTTCTTTAGGCATTTCAGGCGTCTCCTGGCAGCAGAAACTATTTCGTGGACTTCTTCAGGGGTCTAGTTACAGTGCTGAAATTTTTAGTCGCACCCTTGACTATTATTTGGGTTTTCTCCATACCCGATGGGGCATTTCTGAAAATACCTGGGTACAATCCAAAGACGACCATGGGGTTATTCGCAAGCTCTTTAATATTATTTATGCCGACGACATTATTCTTCTTGCTACGTCCTATGAGCAGGCACGTCGCCTTCTCGAAGGGGTGATCGATATTCTTGCATCGATCGGTCTCTCTCTTGCCCTCGATAAATGTAAATTTATCGTTTCCCCCGACTTGCCGTCTCGTCCCCTTCGCGTACGTCACATTGATATTTCTCCCGTCCGCTCTTTCAAATTTTTGGGAGTCCTCATGGGATTTGACCTCAATGCGCAGACCGTTTTAGCAGCTAGACTCACCATGACAAACAACGCCTTCTGGGGTTATTATAAAATCCTCCGCCGACCAGGTGCCTCCCTGCGCAAGCGACTTCATCTCCTTAACACCTATGTAACATCCAAGTGGAGATGGATTAGCCCCTGCATTCGCCCTGTTACTGCTGTCAGCAACATGCTCTCGGCCATGCACAACACTCTCCTCACCTCTCTTTGCGCGCTTTCCTCTGACCCCTTCGTCACTTCTTCCATGAATTGGGTCTGTCGTCGTCGCGCCAGCAAAATGTGTGCACAAGCCCTTTCACACCAGTCTTGGGCAGGCATTCATGCGTTCACTTTTATGTCTTATTGGGGACATGCTGCCCGTATCCGCACCTATCGTCACGCGCCTATCTCCATTGCTTTGGGAATTCGGGATACGTTTTGGTTGCATGCTAATTGGAAGACTCACAGACGCTGTCTTGGATACTGGCCTAATTCATACCGTTTAATTCAACTTGCATGGGAGGAACTCCGAGGTTTGGGCACTCCTCCTTTTTGGGAAAATGCGGCCATCAACAAAGATCTTTGGAAAAGCTTCACTCAGTCGTGGCTTTCCCATAAGAATCTCCAGCCTCTTCAATATTACCCTTGCCTCTCCTCTGTCGACCTTCTTGGTCGTTGTCTCCTTCAAATTGGTGAAAAATTTACTCTCCTCCCTTTCCGCCATGTACCAGTTGAGGCCGAGTACGACTCTTCATTTCAGTATGTTCCGGATGTTTCTGTCTTTGACAATGAAGCAGCTATTCAAGTCTGTTCCGACGGCAGCAGTAAGGACTATAAGGGAAGTCTCGCTGTTTCCTTTCTTGCCCCATATGCCCCTATTGAAGACGCGGTTGTTGCGCAGGCTTTTATTGAAGGTAGATGCACCAACACACGCGCTGAAATTCGTGCGGCTATCCAGGCTTTTAAAATGATTCGAAACGCACTTCCTTTCCTTAACGATATCCCTATTATTTTTATGACTGACTCAGCTTTTGTCCTCCAAATTCTTCAGGAACAAGTTTTGTTTTCTTGCCATCCCCACGACATCCATGAACTACTGTACCTCTACAAGCAGGTTTCCTCTCGTATTCGAACACAACATGTACGCGGGCATGTTGGACACCCGCTGAATACCCTCACTGATAAAGCTGCTAAGGCAGCTTTGCATTTCACACATTCCCGAACTCTATATCGCAAAGCTGATTTTAGCAAAGTGTTCCTTACACTCCCTCATCAAAATATGCCTCCTTTTCATTCCTGGCTCGGACCTTAGAAATGCAACAACGTTTTTCTTACTCCCAGTGATTGCACAGCATTATTGAATGCAACAATGTTTTCATTGCTCCCAGTGAAATCACAGCATTCTTGATCCAACAGGATTTTGATAGGGATTTTATGCTCCTCTCTGTCTAACTTGGCTTTCAAACTGCTTGCGCGTGTTTTTCCATCCATATGAAACAGGGGGGGGGGGGGGCAGGACGGGTACTTTATTGCAACATGTGCGCTTCAGGACCGAAGTGTGCAGATTTCTGAAGCCTCTTGCTGCTCCTTAAGCCTGAGTAGACCCCCCTGCGATCCCGACCGTACTACTTCAACATGGACGGCTTGCAGCAGGAAGCACAGAACATGGATACACATGCAGCAGGGTGGAGCTTGGAGCAGTTGGGAGAAGTTATCTCCTTGGGCTCACTCGTTCTCCAGGGACATGAATGGATGGTCACTATCGCCGTCCTAGTGTTCTCCTGGCTGCTCGTCCTCACGGTGGTTCAGTATCACCAATCAGCTGCCCGCACAAGACTTCTCATGGGTATCACCCGAGCCCTTGCAGACCTGGAAGTGAAAGTCTCTGGAGGTCAGCCCCAACAACTGGCCCCGAGCTCGGAGACCCTTACAGCACTGCAATGTCTGGATGCCAAAATGTTGCAGCTGAGCCATGACAATCAGCAACTACGTGTCGTGCATCAACAGCTGCACGCCTTTATGGATGAGTTACAGCAAAATCGCACTCTGCCTCTCTTGGAATCAACAGTGCAGCAAATTGCTGCAGTTGCAGATGAGACTGGCAAAAAGATGGATCAGTGGATGCAGGAAGTGCCCCCGCGCATCAAGGAGATCTATGGCTTCACTTCTGCCCTCCCAAGGACAGAAAAGGCGGTGGCCTCTATGGCGCTTGACACTGCCAAAAACTTCGGAATGCAGGAGACGCTCAGCGATGGACTCCTCAAGCAGGGCCGCGAATCTCTTCACTACTTACAAAGCGAGCAGAAGTTCCAAGGCGACAAACTAACAGAGATTAAGACGACGACGGAGGAGCTTCATACTACGCTTAAGCAGACCAGTGTGGACCTGCATGTGGCAAAGACGAGAAGTGAGCAGAAGCAAGAGAGTATCCACAAGGATATTCAAGCCCTGGCGGGATCCACTGCGAGCTCTTTCAGAGGCATCAACGTGTTGGTTCCAGCTCACAAAACCCTCATGGATCACGTCAACAATATCCTCGACTATTTGGTGAAGGCCAATCAGGCCAATGCCAAGGCCGACCAAGACCTCCTGTCTTTGCAGGAGATCACGGGCAACACGGACACGAGGGCCCTCAGGATTGAGTCTTTGCTTGGAGGCCTCCAGGAAACGCTCGCCGAAGTCCAGGAGGTCGTACTTCAGATGGGCGAAGCACAAAAAATCGTTCAAGAGCAAGTCCAAATTGTCTTGGACCGGACTCCGAAGATCCTCAAGCGGCCTCCGCCCAGTGGGGACACAGCCAGCAGTGCTCAGCCGGCGACGCCTCCTCCCAGCCAAGTGCCTCTGGACCCACCTGTGCAGCAGCAACCGCAGCCCTCGCCGATTCGCCTCTCAGAGCACCTCCAGCCGTTGGCTGCTACAGGGCAACAGCCCATTTGGATGGTTCAGGACCCTCTCCGAAGTGTGTCGACGACGGACCTCCTCCGCACCCTACTGTCGAGGGGCAACTTCTGATGATCTCTATGTGAAGCTGCTGCATGAAACTGTGCAGCCTGTAACATATCTCCGCGCAGAGCCCTTTTACTGCCCCATAGTGTCGTAGTACCGACCTGGTTTGGACTTGTATGGTCCCGACGGCCTAATTTATATCTGCACACCCGAATTTGATGCCCCTGCCAATTGCCGCTGCATGCCTGCTTAATTCTTCTTGCATCTGCCAATGTACCTTGCAAACATACTGCTGCATCGACTTGATAATTCGTAGTCTTCTGCAACACTCTTAATTTCTAATTCAAATGGCTCGTAATTGACACGATGAATGAGCCAGCTGACATGGCAGTCCGATGCTCACGCGCCAGACAGTCTGAAGCACAGCTTCAAAACGAAGGACCCTGAGCGCTCCCTTGCTTCACATGCTTTGAGACTGTGCTTCCGTGAGTATGAGTGTACATGTGTATGCAAATCGCAGTCCTTTGCCACTGTCAAAGCATGCAAGGTAGGCTAGCTGCTGGGATGAAGCGCAAACATGATCACACCGACCGTACCACATCTACACCACGTGCTGACCCTAGGACTTTCCAGCTGGGACCTGAGGCCTTTGGACTTGAAGCCCGAGAACTCCAAAAACTGTCTTCGCGGCTCCAAGTTGCCTACTCCCTTGCACTTCCCGAAACCCTAGCCTACGCAGCACAGTGTAAACTTGATCGTGGACAAGCCGTCACGAAAGACACCATAGTTGACATATGGGATACAATCCCTCTTTCTGCAAAGCAACGAGACAAGCACGATCCCCATGCCCAAATCATCCTGCTAGGTGTAAACCCCCGAAAGCCGGATGCCCTAAGCACCCTCACACACGACTTGCCGCATACCACCAGGATGCTAGCATCTTTCATCAGACGGCACTGCCCCGAGTTCTCATTTAATGTCATCTCACTGAGGCTCAACGCAGACAAAGGCCCCCATAGAGATGTCAACAACGGTCCCGAAAATCAGCTCTTGTACGGCCTTACTTCATGTGAATCGGGGGGTGGTCTTTGGATGGCCAAGTCTTCAGGTACACAGCCCATGCTAGTTCACGGTATGCAGGTCCCAGGTGATGTCCTGGATTGCCATACTGCTCCCCTACTCTTCAATGGTAAGTATAAGCTACACGCCACTGAAGCCTGGGAAGGCCCGCGTCGACTCGTACTTGTAGCCTGGACAACCTTGACCCTTGACCCTGACGCCTGTGATTGTCTAGTCCAACATTTTGGGTTCCCGCAAACCCCACGTCTTTCTGCACCTGAGCCCAAGCAACAAAGCCTCCCGACTTCCTTTCAACATAGCCTTCAGGCAGCTAGGGGACAAGAATTGCTAGGCTATGGAATGGTGTTCAGTGTCTCATCGAGCTCCGAAGCACCCGAGTCCCAAGGCTCCTTGTCGTCAAACCAACATGTCAATCCAAACCCCTCCCGAACAACCGACGACCCCCCGACTGCCCGTGGCCCCTCTCGCTCTCCATCGCCGACTTCGTGGACATCTACGCAAAAGGACGAGTGAAATGCTCTGGCCCCCTTTAATTAGTAATTGGTCTTGCAACGGGTTACAGGGTCCTTCAGCTTGGCTTCGCCGCTTTCTTCGGGCTTCTTTCCTGTTTTCCTGTGGGTTTCATTTCGGAATCTGGTTTCTCTTCTGAATTTGGAATTTGGAATTCGTCGCTGGTTGCTGCTTTTGCATGTTTAATTTGTGCCACTAATTCCCCACTGCTAGGGTCGGCCTGAAGCAAACTGAATACGAGGGAAGGTTGCTGCAGAAGAGAGACACAACATACCCCACGCCCCCACCATCGTGCGTTCGTCGTGAGACCTCACCATCGGAAGCCCACAAAAAACTTGGAAAAAACGACCGTCCGCTCACCGACCAAGCGCCATGATGGAACACTTGCAGCACACTCACAACCACCTCGTCGTATCCACCACCATTCCACTGCTCCGTGCCTGCGTTGCTTTCAGGGCCCTACGAACTACTTTGTTCCCATAAGCCATTGTTCGCATTTTACAATACGACTGGTTTATTCGTTGGGTTTCCTTAAGGGTCTTTTGGGGGATGGCTTCCTTCTTTCAAGTACTACATTGATACACTTGGGTGAAGCTTGCTGTAGCTGCCATGGCTGGTGCTCCTCCACTCTTCGTGACTCGGGCTGCGCTGTCTGCAACGTCAGTTTTCCTGTTCTGAGCCGCTGACATTCTGCAACTTGATCTGCGCTGATTTATTCTCTCACCTACACTGCGTGGGATGCTACTGGAGCCTTGTCACCTCTACAGACTGGAGGATGGGGCGAGCCTTGCTGATTTTGCTACAACGGGCTCAACATACCCAGCTGGTACTTACTGCATGCGAACGATCTCTACATGTTAGCTGCTTGATGGGAATTGGTGCTCGCACAAATTCCCTTCTTAGCGCTTTATACACATGATGACTGGATGGCATCACTCTGTTTGGGTGATGCAATTGCAGTTGGTAGATGCAAACTGGTCAGTCCTCTACTCCACTCGAGTGAACAAATTGGGTGCTTGCAAGTGAGCGGGAATTCATACGAACGGCATTTTGCTGCTGCAACACTAATTGGATGCTTGCAAGTGATGGGAATTCATACGAACGGCATTTTGCTGAAGCAACGAGCTGACCTTCAGCTGGAAGACGACTGGAGCCATGCTGACTTGGACACCTTTTCCGAGCTGTTATGCCTTGCCTGCAATCCTCTGTCTCTGACTGTGTCCTTCAGAAATCCTGAGCGGGGGAGCTGAGCTATCGGACAAACATTGTCTGAAGCTGCAAAGCCTTCACTTTGTGCAAGCCCTTAAATTGGAAGTTACTGTTGCATCAAGTGCTCCATGTAACTACGTCCTGATTCGTACGAACTTTTGGATTGCGTGAAGCTTTCCGACCCCTGAGCGACGAAATGTTGCCCTCAAATTAGCCACAGTTGGAACGACGACATGTGGCTGTAGTCAACTGTTCAACTGAGACTCCCTGCAATGCGGGCTTCGTCCTTGCTAGGTAGGAGGGAAAAAATGTCATCTCACTGAGGCTCAACGCAGACAAAGGCCCCCATAGAGATGTCAACAACGGTCCCGAAAATCAGCTCTTGTACGGCCTTACTTCATGTGAATCGGGGGGTGGTCTTTGGATGGCCAAGTCTTCAGGTACACAGCCCATGCTAGTTCACGGTATGCAGGTCCCAGGTGATGTCCTGGATTGCCATACTGCTCCCCTACTCTTCAATGGTAAGTATAAGCTACACGCCACTGAAGCCTGGGAAGGCCCGCGTCGACTCGTACTTGTAGCCTGGACAACCTTGACCCTTGACCCTGACGCCTGTGATTGTCTAGTCCAACATTTTGGGTTCCCGCAAACCCCGCGTCTTTCTGCACCTGAGCCCAAGCAACAAAGCCTCCCGACTTCCTTTCAACATAGCCTTCAGGCAGCTAGGGGACAAGAATTGCTAGGCTATGGAATGGTGTTCAGTGTCTCATCGAGCTCCGAAGCACCCGAGTCCCAAGGCTCCTTGTCGTCAAACCAACATGTCAATCCAAACCCCTCCCGAACAACCGACGACCCCCCGACTGCCCGTGGCCCCTCTCGCTCTCCATCGCCGACTTCGTGGACATCTACGCAAAAGGACGAGTGAAATGCTCTGGCCCCCTTTAATTAGTAATTGGTCTTGCAACGGGTTACAGGGTCCTTCAGCTTGGCTTCGCCGCTTTCTTCGGGCTTCTTTCCTGTTTTCCTGTGGGTTTCATTTCGGAATCTGGTTTCTCTTCTGAATTTGGAATTTGGAATTCGTCGCTGGTTGCTGCTTTTGCATGTTTAATTTGTGCCACTAATTCCCCACTGCTAGGGTCGGCCTGAAGCAAACTGAATACGAGGGAAGGTTGCTGCAGAAGAGAGACACAACATACCCCACGCCCCCACCATCGTGCGTTCGTCGTGAGACCTCACCATCGGAAGCCCACAAAAAACTTAGAAAAAACGACCGTCCGCTCACCGACCAAGCGCCATGATGGAACACTTGCAGCACACTCACAACCACCTCGTCGTGTCCACCACCATTCCACTGCTCCGTGCCTGCGTTGCTTTCAGGGCCCTACGAACTACTTTGTTCCCATAAGCCATTGTTCGCATTTTACAATACGACTGGTTTATTCGTTGGGTTTCCTTAAGGGTCTTTTGGGGGATGGCTTCCTTCTTTCAAGTACTACATTGATACACTTGGGTGAAGCTTGCTGTAGCTGCCATGGCTGGTGCTCCTCCACTCTTCGTGACTCGGGCTGCGCTGTCTGCAACGTCAGTTTTCCTGTTCTGAGCCGCTGACATTCTGCAACTTGATCTGCGCTGATTTATTCTCTCACCTACACTGCGTGGGATGCTACTGGAGCCTTGTCACCTCTACAGACTGGAGGATGGGGGCGAGCCTTGCTGATTTTGCTACAACGGGCTCAACATACCCAGCTGGTACTTACTGCATGCGAACGATCTCTACATGTTAGCTGCTTGATGGGAATTGGTGCTCGCACAAATTCCCTTCTTAGCGCTTTATACACATGATGACTGGATGGCATCACTCTGTTTGGGTGATGCAATTGCAGTTGGTAGATGCAAACTGGTCAGTCCTCTACTCCACTCGAGTGAACAAATTGGGTGCTTGCAAGTGAGCGGGAATTCATACGAACGGCATTTTGCTGCTGCAACACTAATTGGATGCTTGCAAGTGATGGGAATTCATACGAACGGCATTTTGCTGAAGCAACGAGCTGACCTTCAGCTGGAAGACGACTGGAGCCATGCTGACTTGGACACCTTTTCCGAGCTGTTATGCCTTGCCTGCAATCCTCTGTCTCTGACTGTGTCCTTCAGAAATCCTGAGCGGGGGAGCTGAGCTATCGGACAAACATTGTCTGAAGCTGCAAAGCCTTCACTTTGTGCAAGCCTTAAATTGGAAGTTACTGTTGCATCAAGTGCTCCATGTAACTACGTCCTGATTCGTACGAACTTTTGGATTGCGTGAAGCTTTCCGACCCCTGAGCGACGAAATGTTGCCCTCAAATTAGCCACAGTTGGAACGACGGCATGTGGCTGTAGTCAACTGTTCAACTGAGACTCCCTGCAATGCGGGCTTCGTCCTTGCTAGGTAGGAGGGAAAAAAATGAACCATCTGAATATCCCACGAGCAGGTGAAACCGTAGGTACAACGCCAGGCCCTAAACCCTGTAGTACAGAGTCTAACAAGTCTGATATAGGGGCCTGAACACTTTGAGGATATATTATACTATGACAGTAACAAGGAACCCTCACAACCCTATTCTAAGTATTAAGGCCCCTGCATTATGCAGTAACCACTCAGAAGCCCAAACGAACCTCGCATGCAGGAGTCTCAGGCGCCGCCTTCAACCCGGCTGTGGCCATCGGCCTGGATGTCTCGAGCTTCTTTTCAAGCAGTTTCAGCTAATATATATATATATATATATATATATATATGTATGGGGGGGTCTTTAAAGTTAGACTATAGGCGTCGGGGTACATTATACCGTTTTTGCACGAAGAACCACCAAACAAGAACTCCCAAGATAGCGTAGGTAATTATACTAAGGCCCGATATTAACTGAAGGCCTCTAGAAGGATGTCATCCCAGCACACTTTAAACATGCTGCATCTGGTCTGGGATGTTGGGGCTTTGTATCAACATATGGTCTGGAAGTGGTTGGACAGGTTTCTCCGAAGTGGATCTAGGGCTCTTGAGGTTTTCCATAGCCTACAGAACTTCCACACTCAGAGTAGGAGCAAGGAGATTGCCTCCTTCTTGGGGGAAGGTTGCCATCGAGAATGGCTCACATGCTAGCTAGATTCCTGTCGTGGGCAGGGCCTGGCAAGATGACACTGGCCTGTATCCGTAGAAGCTTGGTTGTTGCATCGTTCGCTTGACTTGCCCAAGGTGTGCCATGAGGAATGCTGCGGCTTGAAGGGCTAAGCTGCACCGTAATTATGCCGAATCCGCCAACCCCCAAAGCCCTGAACCGTGTACCTGCATCCTCAATGTCCTAAGCCTGTGCATGGGCTTAGGAAATGAGTCTTTGCCGGCTTAGGACTCATGGGTTGGGTGATTTTGGCTTTCGGGTCTATGAGTTTAGGTAGTTAATGCTGCCAAGAAATCAGGGTTTGGTATTGCTTGACCTTCTGAGCCTAAAGCCTAAACGACAAACCGAACGAAGCTGGAAGTCCTTCGTACCAGGCTACAGCAAGGGCGTCGGCATGGGCTTCCTCTGGGGCCCTTTTGTCGAACTTCAGCCACGAGAGTTCCGGTCAAGAGTTTCTTTTTGTTCCTACGCGTTCATGTGTTTTATCGGTGTGGACCGGTTAGGATGCAGGGCTTAGAAGTCACGTGTTTTCGTTTTTTCCTGGCTGAGGGTTGGCAAGGCTTAGGCAAGTCCGGTTTAGCGCTTCAGTGTGGCCGGCCGTCCTGATATGGAGGTTCTTGGATTCAGGTTTTGTTGTTGTTGTTGTTGTTGCAAGTTGGAGGTGCCTCCACCAACATCAGCCAGGTTACCCCTGAGCACTAGGGATGGGGACGTTTTGGGACGAGAGAGAGTGAGAGAGAAGAGAGAGAAGAGAGAGAGAGAGAGAGGGAGATGCCATGGCGGCAGAGGAGGGATCCTCAGAGCTGCAGCTCACTGACGAGCATACTCAGCTTCGTTTTGATGGAGGGGTCCGGACTTGACTTGACGCGAAATACTTTGTAAAAGCTCTATGTTCAATCACACTGTCGCCAGCCCGAATTCACGGCCATTAGGACTCAATGCTTTGTGTACGTGACATGTTTGTTTGAAGGTTTGCAGGCACATCCCATGTCGTACGGACAGCGCCTGGAAAGGTTTGTGTTATTTTAGAAGCTGCCCCCCACACTGTAATAGTGACTATAAGGATTATAGCAGGGCCCTATTATATTTCCATTATACCACTACTACAGGGTCGGGGGCCCTTCTAAGGTTTGTTTGAGCTTCTGGGAGCTGTGGTGGCAGTGGCACTCTACCGGATGCTTCGGCCTGAGGAGCCCCCACTGCTCGTTTTGATTCGATGGGAGTTTCCGAGAATTAGGGGTACCTTATTCGGTGGTCCTTATAATAAGGATCCCACTATTTAGGGCACTATATCAGGGTCCCCCCATTTTCGGAAACTCCCAGATTTAATTGAGGAATGGTGGTACATGGTAGTGGAAGGAAGGGAGTGAAATGATTCGGGCACGCAGACGAGAACTCTTGGATGCTTTTGTTACATCGCCGTGTCTCTCCTGACACATGCAGCCGTAGTAGTTCGAGACCTACAGACCCTATAGAGCCAGCCCCGGGCACTTCGAAGAGAGGACTATCTCGATCTTGACGCCGCTGCCTTGGAAAGCTACCAGCCTTCGCTGTCAGTCCCTGGTCCCGACTGAAGTGTGCTTTCTTTGTTTGGGGCGGGTTTAGGGTTTCGGGTGTCTTAAGGAAATAGAGGTTCGGAGGTGCGCTAAGGACGATTTAAACTTCAAACAGCAAGGTTTATCCAAACTTCACTGCTGGGCTGCGCAGGGTGCAGCTCCTGCTCTGGTTCAGTGAAACCCAACTCCAGAACCTCAGACAATGTCAGGCACTTGGTACAGGGTGGAGGGTTGACTTTCCAGCGGGCTAGCCACTAGGCCAGGCATTTAGCACATCCGGGCATTCGGACGCAGTCGGTTTGCATTAATTTTTTTTGCTGATCCTGATCCTGAGTCAGAAAACGACGCCAAGCTTCCTGAACCGAAGCCTTTTCCCATAAGCTTCATAGTATCAGCCAACACAGTCCGCAACACAGCCAGTAAATTTAGGCAAAGCTCCTGAGCGAGTTCCTCGGCGTCTTCATGCTCGTTCTGACAGTGGCTTGGCGGACTGCGCACCCACAGCTTAAAGGCGCTCAGTGCATTTACCCGAAGATTCTAGGCTTTCGATTCTGAAGCTTATATAGTTTCCTTTTGCAAGTCCGGACAGAAGCAGCGTTGTCAGGAACTGCAGTCAAAGACGGAGCCGATGTAAGTGACTTTCGCTGTGATGACCTGACAGGGATGCCAGTTGCAACAAGAAGCTTGCCGGAGCAATGCGAGTCGCACAACAACTGCAATTGCAACTGTAGAACGAAAAACTACAGACATTAAAAGGATATTCAAGGTGTATATGAAACCAATATATGTATTTTGTGCTCTTTCAATATATGGTCACACGGTGACGTTTTTTAAATATATGGGGGCCCGGCCAGCCGCACTGGCCGCAGAGGTAGTCTAAAATATTTGTTTAAATCCGTATATTTCAATCCCAGTATGACGTGATCTAGCCTTCAGTCTTAAAAAGGTGAAGGCTGGAATGCTGGAGGGTTGAAGGCTGGAAGAGGTTGAAGGCTGGAAGGGGTTTAAGGCTGGAAGGCTGGAGACTGCAAGGGCTGGAGGGGTTGAAGGCTGGAAGGCTGGAGCACTCCAGCCTTCCAGTTTTCCAGACCCAGCCCTCCAGCCCTCCAGCCTTCCAACCTTCCAGCCAGTTTTCAACACTTCCTCCAGCCCAGCCCTCCAGCCCTCCAGCCCTCCAGCCACTGGAGGAAGTGTTGAAAACTGGCTGGAAGGCTGGAAGGTCGGAAGCCTTCCTCCAGCCTCCAGCCTTCCAACCTTTCCTCCAGCCTGCCCCCAGCCCGGCCTCCAGCCCTCCAGCCTTCCAACCTTCCAGCCTTCCAGCCTTCACCGCTGGAAAATTGGAAGGCTGGGGCTGGAAGGTTGTAGGAAGGGTTGGAAGGCGGAAGGCTGGAAGGCTTGAAGGCTGGAGGGCTCGGGAAAGCTGGAAGGCTGGAAGGCGTCTGGAAAACTGGAGGGCTGGAGGGTTGGCTTTCCCCAGCCCCAGCCTTCCAGCTTTCCCCAGACCTCCAGCCTTCAAGCTTTCCGTCTTCCACCCTTCCTACAACCTTCCAGCCTTCAAGTTTTTCAGCGGTGAAGGCTGGAAGGTTGGAAGGCTGGAGGAAGGTTGGAAGGTTGGAGGAAGGCTGGACGGGCTGGAGGGCTGGAGGCTGGGCTGGAGGCAGGCTGGAGGAAGGCTGGAAGGGTGGAGGAAAGGTTTGAAGGCTCTGGAGGGCTGGAGGAAAGGCTGGAAGGCTGGAAGGTTGGACGGCTTCAAGGCATTCCAACCTTCATCCAGCCTTCCAGCCTTCCACCTCGTGGCTTTGGGGTTTAGGGTTTAAGCGTTTCAGGGTTTAGGGTGGAAGCCAAACCTTCCCGCCTTCCAGCCGTCGGCGGAGGGCTGCTGGAGGGCTGGGCTGGAGGAAGGCTTGAAATCTGGCTGGAAGGCTGGAAGGTTGGAAGGCTGGAGGGCTGGGGCTGGACGGCAAAGCTGGAGGGCTGGGGCTTGGGGCTGGAGGAAGGCTGGAAGGCTTGAGGAAGGCTGGCTCGGTTTGGCTTGAACCTAAAGCTGAAAGGTTTGGCTTCTACCTGAACCCTAAACCCTTAAACCTTAAACCCCAAAATCCTAAACGCCAAACCTACCAATGATCTGCCAAGTTCCGGATATTTTATTTCGAGGCGGGCCCGGGCGATGTTTCACGGAGGTAGTGTAATATACCGGTTTAACCTATTTAAATATCCGTGTATTTAAAAACAGACGCCGTAAGACTAAGAGTAGCCTAGCCGACCTCGATCCCAGGTCGGCCTAAACCTTGTGAATGGCTCCCCAGCGACAGCGTGGTCGGCAGCGGCAGCTTTGATGTGTGCCGCGGATTGTGGTTCATTTTAGGGCCGGTGGGGAGGCTCTTGAAACTGCAGCCAACAACTCACTGTTGTGTAATAGCTGCTCCTGGGCTACTAACTACTACTGCTGCACTGGATGTGGCCATGCGTTCTCGTTGTAAGTTGTCATCACCCTCGTCCTCCTCATAGTATAATAACGAGCGACACCAACCCCACCAACGACGACACCCTGGCCATCATCATTCCTCTGGTCCTAGTCCTATAGTCCTATGGGTGTTAATACGCGATCACTCCTTGTGTCAGCAGCACTGGCCTTCTTGTCGTTGTGGTCACAGTCTGGGCGGCCGCTGCAGCTAGTGTAACCCTGGCCGTCGTGGTCGCAAGCACAGTAGTCCTCGTAGCAGGGCAATTTGAGTTGGCGACAAATCCATGATGAAAGGAGAGGTGTGCAAAGTACTCGTGGGACCGTGGCACTAGAATAGACGTATGCTTGCAATTTTGGTGCTCATAGGTCATCAACAGCCACGAAATCACCAACAACGACACCACCACCACCACCACCAACAACAACAACCATAAGACACAAACATAAAACGAATATCAAACAAACAAACAAATAAACAAAATAAACACAGAAACAACAGCAACATCAGCACCACCACCAACAACACCAGCAGCAATAGCACCACCACCAACAACAACAACTACAAGAGCAACAGCAAAAACAGCAACGCCACCACCAACAACAACAGCAACAGCACCAGCACCAGCAACAGCTGAAACAGCAGCAGCAGCAGCAACAGCAGCAACACCACCGCCACCAACAACAACAGCGGCAACGACAACGACAAAGACAACCACAGCAACAACAACATCAACGACAACAACAGCAACAGCACCACCACCACCAACAACAGCAACAGCATCATCAACAACAACAACAACCACAAACAACCAAACACACAAACACACAAGCAAGCAAGCAAACAAGCAAACACGCTACCAACCAAACAAACAAACAACCAACGGCAACAGCAGCACCCCCAACAACAACAACAGCAGCAGCAGCAACAGCAGCAACGGCAACAAAAAAAAAAAAACACAGCAGCAACAGCAAGAAGAGCAAGGACAACAACAGCAGCGACAACAGCAACAGCAGCAACGACAGCAACAAAGCCAACCACAGCAGCAACAGCAAGAACCTCAACAACAGCAACAACATCACCACCACCAACAACAACAGCAGCAGCAACAACAGCAACAGCATCAGCAACAGCAGCAACAGCAGCAACAACAGCAACGACAGCAAACAAACAAAACACAGCAGCAACAACAAGAACAGCAAGGACAGCAACAGCAGCGACAACAGCGACAGCAGCAGCAGCAGCAGCAGCAGCAGCAGCAGCAGCAGCAGCAGCAAAACCAACCACAGCAGCAACAGCAGTAACAGCAACAACCGCGCCACCACCAACAACAACAGCAGCCACAGCAACAGCAACAGCAACAGCAACAACAAGCAGCAATGGCAGCAGCAGCAGCAGCAGCAAACGCACTACACAACCACCCGCAGCAACAGCAATGGAAGCAGCAACATCAACCACAACCACAATAACAACACAGGTGTGCTTGGGTTGTTACTGGAACCCAGTCTCTTCAGGCTCTCATGTCTAAACTCTCTTGGGCTCGTTGCGAATAGATGTTTTGAAGTGCTGAGTATGACTTATATACCCTCAGAGCCAAAGCCTGCAGATTCGAACATCTCAGTCGATGAACTTCAGAAGCCTTGGATGCCCGAAGCCGCGACCGGAGAGCCGATCTCCTGCAGGCATGATCTATTGTCTGGGAAACATCTCCGGAGCTCACCTCAATCCTGCTGCGCCTGGGTCGCCCTTCAACTTCCGAGTTTTGTGTCTTTCTGGGCCAGTTGCCATAAGGGACAAGCTTAAACAGCACGAGGCAATCCAAGCGTACAAACTACAGACCATGCTTCAGTAGTTGATAAATCAGACGCTGCTGGTCGGCCTTGCTCACGAGACCTATGCTCCCTTGCGCTCGGCTCCTAAACTCAGCAGTGAACTGGAGAGCTAAGGTGACCATGGCTGTTGTGGCCAGTGGCCGAAAGCTCTGTCATCACTCTGAAGGCACGGACGGAGATCCGACGTGGTTGAGGGTTCACAGGGTCATCAATTCGGCGAAGAGGTTTGCTTGCAGATCGCATCCTGCTTCGCGTGGTGCGGGCTTCGTAGCAAGCTCACAAATGGAAGCAGTTCATATGTGCCTGTATACCGTATATACGGACGGACTCATGGATGGGTGTATGCATGCATGCTTGCGAGTGTATGTATGCATGCATGGACGTACGCACATGGCACGCATGCTAGTGTTTTTTGGGGCAGAGGTAGAGGGAGAGAGAGAGAGAGAGAGAGAGAGAGAGAGAGATTCTGCCATATCATCCAGCTCCCCTCACAACGTCTACGTCCTAAATGTAGCGTCCACAGGGATGCCTTTAAATTTTAGTCTTCTTGAGTCTTGAAGCGTGTTTTGTGCCGGTTGTCGTAGCATCTGCAAGGCTTACTCTGATGACGCTCTTGTTTCTTTGTCCTCGGAAGATACATGTTCGTCTTCAGCCTTTCTGCTTTCTAAGTGAATTGACAACAAGTCAGCACTGTGTGAGCATGGCACGGGTGTGCGACAATGTAACAGGGACCACCGAAATCAACACACTGGCACAATACAACACACTGGTACAGTATATAGTCATGCAGCTGACGTATATAATTCCGGATTCAAATGTTGAGGGTTCGCCATCAGTGATACAGTGCTGCGGATGCAGAGACGGGGACCTCCCGTTGTTGCTGCAGGTGTTGCTTACGCTTCCACGCAGCTTCTGGCAGGAACTGTCGCAGGCCCTTCGGACGCATTGGACCTTCAGAGAACGTAGACCTCTGTGGTTCTGTAGTCTGTGCATATTGGATCGGATGCTCATGTCGTGGTCAAGAGGGCTCGGGTGCTAGATGGATATAACACCAACTACTCTGGGGATACGCATGGTGGGGAGATCTCGAGATTTGGAAGAAGGGGGACGGTGAGGATGCCAAGTGCTCTTGCAGGGCCTTTACAGGAAGCAAGAACAGAATGAAGACTCACATCAGTCATTTTCATGGTTATTGCATTTAATTTAGTATTACTACCATTACTGCCACTACCAGATTCGCCCGAGCCGGCCTAGTACAGGAGACCTACACTACACTGCTTGAGAGCACATGTCTTGCTCCATCGAATCTCGATCAGGGCCCGGTTCTGCAGAACATTGAGGGGCAAATGTGCTAGCGGTCGCACCTCGAAGACCCTGCAGAGAATCACTGAAAATGTTGGGCACAAAGCCATGCCAAGCCCTGAGCTCCAATTTCTCAAGTCAACCCCTACCAAGTGTCTCGTCCTGGCGAAGTAGTAGGCAACCAAATTAAATTCTCAAGCTTCTCGATTTCTCGACCCGACCTAGACCATGTGCTCTTTATCCGAGGTTTTGTTTACAGCATGTACCATGCTGCCGGGCCGAAGCACCCTGTCCAAACTTGGTCTTATGAGGTGTACTTTGGCCTTGTCGCCTCGAGACCAGTGCTGTTCAGTTGTCAGTCTCGACACAGACACATGGGATGTTGGACATGGCTTCCCGGGGAGACCTTTTGGATCAGCGCGCGAGGAAACGAGCCAAAGCCCCTTTCCTTATTCCTCTAGGAAGACTGAAGAAGATGGAACCGTTTGTGTGCTTCGTACATTGAACATTGAGCTTTTCGAAGGCTTTCGCTGCGCTCGTTTGACTGCTCAGTGTAGCGAGAATTCCAAACATCAGAGGGAGCAAATAAGTCCTAAACCCAATACCCTGAACCCAAATCCTCTAATCTTCGTTGCAAGGTCCTGTCTCCAAGCCCTTGATAACACTGCTCCCCAATTACCAAACTCAAAGCCTTGAGCCAAATCCCCCAAGCCAGCATATGTATATGTATACATTTTTTTTACTACCTTAACTTGCAGCACAAGCAACAAGTCGTTGGCGCTAACCTACTTCCTGCTAATTTACTACGGTCCCGGCATCACTGTTGCAATGAATGTTCATAAACACTGATTTTACACTTCTTGGATTCCTATAGAAGGCTTTCACACTGAGTTACTTCACACAGAGAGAACTTCACATAGAGCTTCACACTGAGCTTCTTCACATAGTGACTTCACATCGAGCTGCTTCACAACGATTTGATTATAATAGCTGAGACCAACCAACACACTTGCGACGTTCAATAGATGTATGATCACTGGAAAGGTGGTTGGTATCTTCTGGCATGATCAATAATCGTCTCTCGTATTGCTCGGTCGTGTTTATTGAAAGGCACCTTCGGAACCGAGACATCTTTTGATGTGATTATGTTCCAAGCTTTTTCCATATTCGTGGTAGTCCAAAACTGTCTTGGACGGCCTACTCTCCGTTGTTCTGTTTCTCTTGGCACAGCAGACTGCGTTTTGAAAGCGGCTTGATGCAACGGATGTTGGCGGTCCCGACGTAACACATGTCCTAACAGCTTTAGTCTCCGTTCTCCGAGAACTTCTGTGAGGGGCTTGATTTTTCGGTGTATGCCCGCGCTTGGGGCATTCGTGACTTCGTTAGCTCTTTTGTACACGTACTCGTTTGTGTTGCTGCGATTAATAAACGTAGTGTGCAACTGAAGAATTTTTCGCAATCCTTTCAGCTGAAAAGTATTGAGCAATTTTCCCGCTGATTCTGTGGGTTCCAATGTCTCCAACCCATAAAGAAGTTTGCTTGTAATGACGGCGTTGGAGACCAACAACTTCCATTTCTTGTTACAATTCGTTTTAAGCCAAAAGATGTCCAGCTTTTTTAAGATGACCATTGTAGCAGAGATTCGTCTACGGATTTCCTGACTGGGGTCAACTCGTTTTGAGACCGATGCCGATGCTCCCAAATAAGTCGTCTCTTGCACACACTTCATTCTTTCCCCACTCTTGAAGCGTATATTGCCTCTGGCATTATATGCAAGAAAACAACATTTGTATATGTATACATACATATATATATATATATATACACATGTATTATACATATATATATGTATATATATATATATATATTTACAGCTATATATATATATATATATATACATATATATATATATATAGGTTCCAAAACCCTAAATCCTAAACCTTCAAAAAGGAAGAGGGATTTCATTGGGCTTGGGCCTGGCCCCGGATCGGACTACACCTTGACGCAGGCCGCCTACTGGCCTCTACTGCTGAGAGAGGGAGATGTTGGGTTTTGCAGAGTTTTTGATCAGGCTTTGGGTGTTTCTCGGCTGATGATGGGGCGACATGACTTCTCCGAGTTTTGCAGCATGGCCCGGCTATTTGTGAACCCTTGTGGGTTTTGTGCATGGTAGCTCATGCATGGTTTATACTGAGGTATGGAAGCTAGAAATCCCAGTCACGTTCGTGCTCGCACCACAGGGGACCACGGCCTGTGCTACTATCGCATAATCGGGGTTCTCAAACGGCTCATGCAGGGGGGTCTTAGGGTTTGGGGTTCGGTTTAGGGTTTAGGTTGCTTGAGGATAGTAAGTTCGCCGCCATGCGAGCTCCACTTCGCTGCTGCATTTGAGTTCAGGTATAGGAAGTTTAGGAGTTGAACCCCTACAAAGCAAGGGTTGCTGCATTGCTTTCTGCAGAGTTTCTAGAACCTGCTCAGACCGAAGCGCGCGAGTCATCCCAGGCTTTAGGGCGGTTAGGCTTCAAACATCTTCTGTCCCTGTTTTGCGCGATGCAGCTACTCCTTCCACATCCGAAACATAAGACACCCCTAAACTCTAAACCGCACAAAAGCATGAAACCCCAAACCGAAATCACGTGTCTGAGCATATAGTGCAGAAGAGCTCATGCAGACAGTGGCAACGCTGGCTGTGGGTACTGGGCTCTGTGTGAAGTTGAGTATCCTGCTGTGGTCACTGCTGCTTTTGAGTTTGCTACGTGCGTTTATGTTTTGTTTGTTGTGTTTTTTGTTGTTTGTCGTACTCTTCCAAAATATTTATCACGGTTGCAATTATGCAGAATATGGTTTTTTCTGTGGTTACTAATACTCTTCTTGTTGTTGTCGTTGTTGTTGGTGGTGGTGATGCTGATGCTGATGCTGATAGTGGCGCTGGCGGTGGCAGCGGCGACAGCAGTGGCGGCGGCGGTGGTGGTGGCGCGACGGTGGCAGTGGCGGTTGGCGGTTGGGGGTGGTGGTAGAGGCAGTGGTGGTGGTTATCGTGGTCGTGGTGGTGGTGGTGGTGGTGGTGGCGGTGGTGGTGGTGGCGGTGGTGGTGGTGGCGGCGGTGGTGGCGGTTTGTGGCCGGTGGTTGGTGGTTGGTGATTTTAGTGGTTGGTTGCTTGTTTTGGTTGTTGTTTGCTGTTTGTTTTTTCGTTGTTGTTGTTTGTTTGGGGTCAGTTGGGGAGCAGTTTGGAAGACTTTGCTACTGATTCGGTTTGTCCACACAGGCTGGCCTCGTGGAGCTTTCTGCGACTTTGCTTTTGGCCTACGTCGTGCTCAGCTGCGCCACAGTCCCTCCAGCCGGGGGCGATACGAAGACCAAGAACAGCCGCCCGACTTACGAAGAGGCTCGTTGCTTGCAGAACAGGGAGCTGCGGCTCGAGGACACAGGAGAGGGTCCCTTACTTGGCTAGAGCCGCTGCAGCTGAAGCCGATAAAAGCTGATGATGCGGCCTGGCTCCGACTTCCGAGCCGGCTGTCATTAGCAGGGTACCGATGGAGTCATGCAGTTCCCGGATCTAGCAGAAAACTATTAATGTAGCAACCTGATTAAGAAACCCTGGGCCTATAACCCCAAAATAGTAGGACGATTCATATAAGGAACCCTAATAAAGGCCCAAGGTTTCTTAATCAGGTTCCTACATTATTAAAGTACCCTTATAGATCCCTGAGAGTAACCCTTATAGACCCTTATAGTACCCTTATAGACGCCTTATAGTAACCCTTATAGACCCCTTTAACGGAACCCTAATAAAGGCAGAGGAAGCCTCGGGCCCCAGGCTTCTACTTCGCCTTGGCCATCGGGTCGTGTGTTACGGTTGGTGGCTTTGCCATCGGCGCAGTGTCCGGAGGCTTCAGTTGCCGAGGGTGAAGGGAACTTGCAATTTCTGGGGTGTGTGGGCAGCTAATATAGGGGCCTAAGTAAATACCAAGCCTCTTTTGGGGGTTCCTTATGATAATTATGGTAGTTATAGTATAATGGGCCCCAAAAGCTTATGTATTCTAAGCATTAAGGCCCCTATGTATGTCTTCTTAGTTATGTCTTCACCTTGGAGGATGTAGACAGGCACATGAATATGAATGCATTCGTTGCACCCACCACTATTTGTTTTGCTGTGCGTCCTCCTGCAATCAGCTAACAGCTAGCTACAAAATACTTATTCTTCTGTTTGCGGCTTCTTGGCTTCGTCATCCCTTGCTTTATCCTGTTTGCTTGGTGTGGTCCGCTGCCTTTTTTCGGGGCACGGATCCATTCACAAACATGGGCAGCCCGGCGGGTCTAATTCCAACACAGCTCTCGAGTCCCGCCGCAGCTTCAGTTTACCCCTTGCTCATTGGCAGAAAACTTCGAAACCCTGACCGTACGCCGCCAGCGAACGGCTGTTGTGGATCGTTTCTATCACAGAGAGAGAGACTTCATGAGCAATATATATTGTATCTCCCAGGTGCGACAACAGTCTGTGCAAGAAGACATGTCTACATAGCTTTCAAGCCCGTAGTAGTGGGCTAGTACTCTCCACCAAAAGTTTCCGAAGCCACCGGATGCTGTATACGCAAAACACCACACATCACCAGAGACCACGGAAAGCCAAGCCAGCGGCTTCTAGATCGTTTGTTTGTGTTCTTCGATGAGTCAGCAAGTGCAGAACATGGCAGATCTTGACAACCCTACTCCTAGATTGCTATAGCCCCGATACTGGACTACCGTATGTACTACTATCCTTCTATCTTTGGTCTGTTCTTAGTAGCAAGAAGAAGGGAGAAGCTTGAAGCTCCGGAGGCTGAGCATAATATGGTGTATTGCAAGGGCCCTCACTCACGAGCTTCAGGCTTATGCTGTCCAGCCATGGTGATGATGCTCTTAGGCGTGTAGGCTTCAGGCCGTTCGGTGCTTTTTTCATCAGTATTGTACCATAACATTATATGGCCATTGTCATGACTCCAATCCGCAAACCCCTGAACTGTCTGTCGGACGACATTGCACTGTGGAGGCGAGCTGAATCCCGCAGTGGCCCTGGGCATCACAGCTGCCAGCGGATTCTTGGAACAAACCGTTTCAGGGCCCTCAGGATTGAGAGCAGGAGGTAGGGCATCCTAAAGTTTAAATCCGAAAACGCTACAGGAAGGAATAGGGCTGCCCTGGGGATGCAGGCTTACCCCTGTGCCTTTGGGGTTTAGCTTTTGGATAATCAGCTTTTGGGCAATCACGGTTTAGGGCTGGTACAGATTTCCGGCAAGGTCAGAAAGGGAGTTTTGCGGTTAGATCCACTGTTTGCATCGGGATGGTGATTTTGCAGCTTTGAGATGTTGCCTTTGAGGTTCCATCGCTGGTATTCAGGGCCAGGGCATAGGGCATCGAAACTTGAGGCATGCCCCAACAGCAGCAAGAGTCAGCTGCCGAATGTTCGCCTTTGCGGTAGATGCTGTCATGTCTGAGTGCCCATAGGCTCCATCTTTCCTTTTCGGGGTTACCTTATAGGATTCTAAATATGAACCCCAAAGAGGAACTGGTGTGGAGCCTATAGGTCCTACACGTAGCTATAAGTAGATTGCTTCGTAGAAGGACGGCTCATGATGCCAAGAACGCCCCGCGCCCTGAAGCAAAAGACTCCGGTGCGGCCGGGACTTTAAGTGAACAGGACTTAGGGGGCTTAGGGCTACAGTGTTTAGTTTCGAAAGTGTACTGACCGGCTTCTCAGCAAAACCCAGGATTTCTTTTTGGAACCACATGGCCGAAAGCATTCTAGCCCTCGATTCAGGAACCTTGCCTCCTCTTGTGTAAGATACCTCTAAGTCCATAATTCAACCCTAAACGCTTCATCCGAGATGTTGGATGCTTTTTTGCTTTGTTCATAGAATGACGCCAGAGGAATGCAGCATCCAGCCGACACGGAACCTCGGCTCGGAAAGATGTGTCTTCACCACGATCGGCCATGACTTATGGCCGTGGGTTAGGGTTTAGGGGCTTGTGGTACACATAGGGGTTAGAGTTGCAGTGCTTTGAGTTGCCCATGTCCTGCTGTGGTCCTTTGAGTTGCCCATGTGCTGCTTTGGTCCTTGTAGCCTTGCGAACTGTTACTTTCCTCTGCTTCAAAAGCCTGTCGCTATTGTTATTGCTGGTGTCGACGTTTGCGTTCCCGAAAAAAATAGGGTTTTGCCCTGTTAAAGAATGCCGGGGCTTAGAGTTTTATTGGGTGGCAGATGGGAATTCCGGCAAGGGATGTTTGGTTGCACTGTTGCGAAGTCCACACCCTTAAGATGGTGTGCTAGCTCTTGTAAGAACATGAGCGGCTCACATGGGGCTCACCTCGTCTGTTTCTGAACTGGCGACCCTGCCCCTGACCCCCAAACCCCAAGCGGGAAAGATATACGAGCCTCCCAACGTTTTGCATCAGGCCAGCTGCCCAGTTTCAACTTCGACAGTAGGGGTTTCAGAGTCGAGACTCCGGGGCTTGAGGATAATTGGTCGTATCATCCGCCTATATGTAACAAAATGTACACAGCTCTCTCTCTCTCTCTCTCTCTCTCTCTCTCTCTCTCTCTCTCTCTCTCTCTCTCTACATATATATATATATGGTTAGGTTATATGATCATATAAGTATAGAGGTATACATACATGTTGATAGGGTCTCCGAATGAAACCCTAGTAAACGGTAGGCCAGGCCTTCATTCGTAAGTGCATCTACGAGGTGGACCACTCCTTCTCCAACTTCGTCCGCCTCGGGCCGCTCGATTTCCATGCGGTTCGAAGGGTGGCGGGGCCATGTGTCGAACAACTCATGAGGTGGATGCGCTCTATAGGATTTGCAAGGCATGCGTGAGCTGGTTTGGGTGGGGGTCGGCTTATAGATGTTCTGACCAATTTAAAGCATATGGGAGATTCCGAAAATAGGGGACCCCAATATAGTGGCCAAAATAATAGGATCCTTGTTACAAGGATCCCCAATAAGGTACCCCTTTTTTTGGGAAACTCCCATATTGTAAATGACTCTAAGCCGTCCATCTCTGGTCTGAACCCAGGATTTGGGAGATGACGGGGGCTTTCGTCGCAGCTGCCTTCTTCAAGATCAGTCACAGCAAGGCGATGGGCACAGGGGCAGGCACTTTGTGACGGTCGTTGTTCTTACCTTTGGTTAGTGGGGAATGGAGGAATGTGGTACTCATATATCTACTATTACTACCGTTCTTCCATTCCCTACTATCCAAAGGTAAGTGTTGCCTTGTCGAAGGGTGTTCGAGATCAAGGGTTCGAGAGCCTAAAAGACCGTTATATCGCAATGGACCACGAGTATAGGATTTTCATCCGAATGCTCAGTAACTGCACCACCTTGACTTAAACCGCAACTAAATCGGTGAACTTGCAGGCTCCCAGACGCAAGCTTCCACTCCTCCAAACCTTCAAACTCTGAAACATCTCGTGGTCAAACTTCGTCGCCGTGAGACTTTGAGTCCAACTCTCGAGCCACCAGTCCTTCCAAAAGTTTCGCACTATTAACCTTTGAAGCCTTCAACCTTTCCATCTGTGAAGCTCTCAAACTTTCGAGCACACCGTTGCAAACATGACTTCCGATCTCGGACTCCTCAAGATCAGAGCATCGATAATTGTTCAGGCCCTCAAACCCTCAACCCCTATATAGAACCCCTATAGATCCCTTTGGGGAACCCTTATGGATCCCTTTAAAGGAACCCCTATAGATCCCTACCCTTATGGATCCCTTTAAAGGAACCCTACAGATCCCTTCAAGGAACCCTTATGGATCACTCATGGATCCCTTTAAGGAACCCTTATGGATCCTATTAAACGCCTTCAAAGTCCAGCCTTCAAACCTGCGAGCTCCAGCCTCGAAGCTGTCCTTTTGTCAAAGAGACTTCTGACTTCCGAAGTTTCAACCCTTAGGGGTTTAGGGTTCCTTTATTAAAGAGATCCATAAGGGATCTGTAGCGTTTAGGGCTTAGGGGGTTTAGGGTGCAGGTTTTAGGGTTCAGGGTTTAGGGTAATAGGGTTTAGGGTCTTAGGGTTAAGGGTGAACCTTTCAAACTCCAAACCGGAGCCTGCTTCCGAGCTCGAGATTGATGTCCAAATCTTCCATTCTGCAGACTTGTTGGGCCGGGTTTAGGGTTTAGGGAGCCTTCAGAAGCTAGGGGCACTGTCACGAGCACAGTCCTAACTGGCGGAAGAGCGGCAAACTACCAGGCGTCCTTGCAAGCAAGCCTGCAGCAAAAGGGAGCCTTCAACCAATCTTGCTCTGCTCAATTCGGCCAAATGTCAAATGTCGGAGGTTGCGAAAGAATCCTTTGCCCATAAAGCCCTGAAGCCAAGACGAGCCTACCCCTTTCGGTCTTCACCCCGTAGCAGCGTTAGTCAAGGCGTATGAACCCGAAAGCCTCTTTTCAACAAACCCTGATCACTGCCTCAGGTCTACTTGGACCTGCAGGCTGAAGATGGCAAGTGATGCAGGGCGCCAGGTAATTCGAACAGACGATTTCGGATTAGGATGCTTGCAGCATGTATCGGGGCAGAAGTTGGCGTTCGAATATGCGCAACCCATTCACGACCCATTCATAATTCAGACCCCCATGGTCATTCTTGGGCCCTCAGGTTTTTCCACAGTTTCCAGTTCCCTCATCATGTGCAGCGCATAGATCCAAGGGCTTAGCGGTTGACAGCAATTAGCTAGACCTCCTTGGATTGAAAGGTCACAAATCCATAGGCTCCTCGTCGCTGCCCTTGGCTTGAGCAAGCTGAACCCGGCGATGTTCGGATGGATGTCCCGTCGTCCAAGTGAATTCCCTGCACATCCGGGCTGCGCTGGAGCTGTATTTGCACGGCACCCCGGGATCCTAGGTTTATCTCTTAGAGCGATGGTGCTACCAAGCTGTTGGCCACGGACTCCATGGAACCATTGCGCGTCAGGAAGACTCAGCCCTTATCGCCCCTAACTTCTAGAAATTGCTAGAGCTTGCACCCAGCCTAGACCAGAAAGATCGAATCCCATCTTCAACGACTGTGGGCCTGGCCTAAGCCCTGAGCTACTACATGTTCATTTTAAACTGACTGGCCATCTAGAGTCCTGAGTTCCTTGCCGAGCTTGCACCGCCACCGGAGCTGTGAAAAGGGAACAGGGTCTAGGGTGTTTGAGAGAGCATTTGGAACTGAGCCCTGCCTACCTGTACGGGGCGCTCAGCCCTGGGCCTTCTTCACCCTGAACATCAGACCCTACTTGGAGGTTCATGGGACTTAGTAAGTACAGGTATGGAGCTATAGTTAGCAATAAGAATAGTGAGTGTATTTATAACCCTAGTTATTAGGTCCTGTGGACCTTTAAGTAGCCAAGCCTTTCACCCCAGAAGCCCAAGGCAAGGAGCTCTTCCGAGATACCTAAGGCGCACACACACACACACACACACGCTACACGCATCCAGAAACCGCCAAGACCCTAAAACACCGTAACGCCTTAGCAAAGCTGAAAGAAGTGGCACAGCAACCAAGAAGCATTCCTCGAACCTTACACCTCCGCACCCTAAAACCAAAAACAAACTATACCCTGAAGCCCTATTTCGATATCTGACCTCCGAGATTGGTCTTTTGCTCCCGTTTTAGATCCTCCGACCTCTCAGTATTTTAGCCCTAGCTACGTCTCTTGTTCCTCCATCATTACCATTTTCTTTGTTATTGGCATCAGTCGCATCCTTTTTGTTATTGTCATTGTTGCTATCACCGTTATTAAGATTACTATTATATGTGTTATTTGTAATGTCGCTCTTATCATTACTAGATCATGCCTATTCGTACTGTTACCAGGAGTCGGAGCAGCTTCTCCAAAGGCTGAGGCCGCTTTTGACACACTGTGGTCTAGGGTATGATTGATTACAAACATATAAATACATATAAGTTATACACATGTATGTATATATATATGTATGGTATATGAAAAGATATAGTATATTATGGTATGAGAGATTAAAACATAGTACGAGAAAGCACAATATGAATTAGATTTGTTGGGGATATCGGCTTTAGAGTTTAGAGCTAAGGGGTTTAAGGCAGAGGTCTTTTGGTAAGTGGCATAGGGCGTGAGTCTGGAGGAAACTGGTTTAAGGGTAGGTTGCGGCCTCATCAAGGGGTTAGGACCATAACGCCATGCAGTTTCGTGTCTACAAGAGCCTCAGGGTTTGTACTTTGGGAGCCTTAGGCAGACATTGAAGCGGAGTCTCGCTAAGGGAGGCGGAACAGCCCAGCTTCAGTTTCATTCTCTTTGACCTGTTTGCTTGAACCCGATGGCCACGGTTCTGGTTCCGCTTAGTCCATCATCTTTTGTATCGGGTGTTGTCTCCTATGTTTATTCTTCGAACTTGTAGCTGCGTAAAACAGCACCAGGGGCAGCACAACCAAGATGTGCGGATGTGTTCGGGAAATTCCCTGTTGCAGGGCGAAGTAGCTAAGAAAGCCCTTTTCAGGTCCGCAAGACATGAAGAACTGACTGTTCATGACTGTTCATACTCGTAGCATCAGCTGAGCCCTGGAGTCACCAGAGTCACTAGAGTAGCCGCAAGTCAGATGCATCACCTCCCTTCGCTGGCAGCGGGAGTTGTTCACATGGCGGGTTACTGGAGCGTAGATGCAGAACTTAGTAACCTTAGACTCCGAAACCCGTATACTATGCTACGCTTTAGGTTAGGGTTTCACTCCGAAACCCCTATACTATACTATGCTTTAGGAATTTAGGGTTAGGGTTTAGGGCCGTATACCGTGGCAACGAGAACAGAGTGGGCGAGCTCTCCGACGCCATGATGCGGGGCATCCTGCAGCTCACGCCGTGGCTGGTGCAGGTGGTCATGTGATGTCATGGGCTGCTGATTTCGGGTTTAGGGGCTTGGGTTTGGGGTTTAGGGTTTAGGGGCTTAGGTTTGGGTTCAGGGTTTAGGGGCTTGGGCTTGGGTTTTGGGGCTTAGTCTTGGGTTTTGGGTTTAGGGTGTACAGTATCACGCGCTTCCATACACATATGCAGTTTAAACTTTCAGACTATGTATGACATATTGTGGTGCTGAAAGTACGGTCTAGTTTCATACACACACAGACAAAACACAAGTCAATGGACGCAACTGTGTGCACACACATATATACAGATAGATAGGTGAATAGATAGATAGATAGATAGATTGGTAGATAGATAGATACATGTATGCAAAGAGATATATACTCCTTTTCGCAGTTAGCTTTATTTGATGTATCCATTTTTTATGTCGACAGGCGTGGGCACACACAAACAACCACCCACAATGCACATGGGCTCGCATCCTTCTGGCCGAGAATGCTCTGGCTATCTTCATGAGACAGGTAAGATGGTTTCGGCCTATGTCTTACACCTTCATGGCTTGCAGGCCGCAGGTGTCTTGATCCCCAGCGGAGGATGTCATGTTTGTCATAGACTCTTCCTTTTGGCCTTATGCCGTCATGGTTGAAGAGTTACCCAAATGGAATCTTCCGAACAACAGTGTCCCAGAAGGTCCCTCCACTGCGAAGAGAGGGCTGCTGGCAGCAGAGCGAGGCCTGAGAGCTTTGCAATCACTTCTTGCTGCCCACATCGGCTTGCGAGTCTGGTCTTGCTGGGAGTCGTGTTTCTTCGGCGACAAGCAATCCTGCACTCGGTACTTGGGTGGCCCTGGACTGTAGCACTGCCTTCTGCGATGAAAGGGCGTGTCTGCTTAATGCGAGATGCTGAACTGCACCTTTGAGTTGTCGTGCATGCATCCTGGAAGCATTCGTGGGACACAACGAGAAGGCACTAGGTGGCACCAAAATGTGAGCTGTCCTATATGGTGGGTTATTGGTGACGACCACTGCCCTGCAAGGCCGAGGTACGATTGTCGAACGCACAGCTTAAAATCTGCGAAAAGAAGTTTATGCTTGTCAGTTCCAGTGAGACTAGAGCATCAAGTGAATGTACAGGAAAGGCTGTTCGAATCAACCACGCGAACAAGAGAAAAGTAAAGGACGACTGGGAAACACATTCTGACAGTACAGATAAAGTACTGCCAAAGTTCACACAGTAACAAAGCACAAAGACAGGGTCGAGTTCAATTCAGCCGAGTCGGGCCAAAGTAGCACACTACTGACAACCTCATCGTATCGCACGTGCAATGGAACGCAGCTTTGGAAAATAGCTCAAGATAAAGCAGGAGTTGTACAACTTACACTGACGCTTATTATCTGGACCGTGTCTCGCTCGCCTCTGCTTGAACCTGCAGGTGTGTAGGACAACATGTGAAAGCAGCGGTTGCTTAGGAAGGAAGAGGGCGGCCTTGTGAGGATTCGGTTTGACATGGACTCGAAAGCGTTTGGCTTCAGGTGCTGTCGCTCAGTCGTCCTACCCTGGGTAGGAGTCAGCCTGTGCAAACATTAGCATGAGTGTTATTGCATTTGTTATTGTTGTGCTCTCGGTTCGTTCAGCGTGAGTTCAGCTTTTAGTCGTGTATGCTATTGCCCGGAGTAGGCCAAATGCAACCGAAGGGATTGGAGAACTAGAAGTTCATCCTAACTCGTCACTCAGTCACTCACCGTACAATTACAAGCTATAGTCAAACCCGGCGACAATTGCACTCTATAAAACCCAAAAGCCCTAAAACGCGTAAGACGCGTGAGGCTCGCAGGCCACGATCCGTCACGGAGCCGGCGCGGCCTGAGAAGGCCATGCAGTTTGATTGTTGCGAGCTGGTGTGAGAACTAAACTCTTAAACATAATTACCAACACAATTTTGTGGGTGGGGTTCCTTGTTATATTTATAGTACCATGGGCACCCAAACCCTATTCTAACCATTAAGACCCCATGCTAATATCACAGTCCTTCGGCTCCGAGAGGGCAACGAGGGCAATCCACACATATTATGTCCAACAGGCTTGGATATGCAGGTCATGTGCCCTGTGGTTGGCACCACTCAGTGTCTTCATAAAGACGAAATCTGAAGTGCAGCGGTTTTTGTAGAAGCCGAGCCCAAACCTACTACCGCCCTAGAACCCCTAAGGCTCTAAATGTCATGTCATATGTTAGCGAAATTTAGCGAAGCCTCGGCATTCCAATAATCGTTCCGTGTTCAGCCCCTTCCAAGCTTGGCAGCATTACGCTTCTCAGGCAGCGTGCTGCTACTATGATCATTGAGAGGTGATATTGGGGTTCCCGAAAATAGGGGACCAAAATATCGTACCCTAAAGAGTAGGATCCTTATTACAAGGATCCCAAACTACGGTACCCCTCCCTTTTTCGGAAACTCTCATATGGGTACTTTGCTTCGGTGGTGTTCGTGCTCGGCGGCTTCTTTGTCCTTCCTTGGCTGCTTTCGATCATTTCAGGTCGTGGGAGACGATTCCTGCGGAACTGTCGGCCGACGTGTCGCCGTTCCCGGGCCACTCATTGCTTCGGGGGGTTTAGGGGTGAGTTCATGAGCTTGTTCAGGTGTCTTTTCGGTGTGCCGTTCTGTGTGCTCGTTTGCTGCCTTTTCTTCGAAAGTTGCTTGTGGCTTGGTTGAGTTGTGTTCGTGGGGTTTCTATGCTGTCCGCCCGAGTCTAGCTGCTATGTGTTGTGCTTCTTTGTCTTTGCCACTGTTTGCTTGGTCTTCTGTCGTGAGCACGTGCTTGTTCGCAGCGCGTCGTGCATTCGGTATGATCGAGCAAGGCCCAGATCCCAAAAGCAAGGTCTGGGAGCCTTTTGTATCCCCAGTAGAACCGAAATCTGCAGCTAACGAGTGAAGCCCCTAGTTAGAAATCAACGCCTGAAAAACTGCGTGATTTAGGGTTTAGGGTCGCTGTTACTTACCGTGATTAGAGGTCCATCTGCGACATGCAGGTCTCGGTGCCAGACCTGCAAAATACCACTCCGAGAGAAGATTGGACCCTCAGTCGTCTCTGGGTATGCCTATAACTAACCTAAACCCTAAACCTTAAACTCCTTAAACCCCTCAACCCATCAACTCTGCACCAGGTAGCGGTGGCGTTCGGCGCCATGCTGGCACGCCCACGTCGTGCTATGGCCGTGGCAGCGGCAACCGCAACGGACCGTGCATGTGTTTTTTTTGCAAGTTCCTGTTAGTATCTCTTGTGTGGCTGGCAAGTCCAGCATTTTTTGAAATTTGCTTCAAAGGGAAACCCCTCGCTCCGTGGTGCTGCATACGGTCATGCCGAAGTACGGGGATGCCGAGTTGTGGAATATAGTGTTGGGCTTTTTGGACTATAGAGGCTTTGCAGAGGAAGTTTTGGATGCTTGTTTCGGGCCTAAGATCAGGACGGCTTGAAGTACAAGACGTGCATTTAGAGTCGAAGGTCTAACTTCAGTTTGGCCATAGACTCCAACAGTCTCAACACCTCGTCCGAAACCCTCCTTTGCTTGCTGTGGCTTGCGATACGGAGAGAGGTCCAAGAAGCCCTCAGACGCAAAGCGTCGCAGGAAGACGAGGTGGTGAATGTCATTGATGGCGACACCGTACCTCAATGGCAGTCAGCCCGAGATTGATTCGCGCTCCACATCCAGAAACTAGCTCGTCCAAACCAGGTCTGAGGGATGAGGGTTTACGGGCAATGTGTTCAGGGTTTGGATGTAGAGCTGCCAGCAAAGTTGAGCAACACACGCACAGCAAAACAGCCCGCAGCACGCGCGTCCTTTCAGTTCATAACTGACTCGTTTGTGGCGATTTCATGCCACCTGAACTTTACTATGCGTCCTCAGGCACTGTGTAGACCTCTTCACCTCAAGCTCCAAGAGCTGATAAGTGCCTGTGAGCCTATGTAGGAAGCCCGTACTGTAGCGCCCCAAATCAAGCGCCAAGCATGAAATTCGGTAGAACAAGCTTGTAGGAATCCGTCATGGCTTCGGGAAACAGGTTCGGCCACACTTCTCAGGCTCCCTGTGGAGTTCTCCGCCCGTGCATGCCGAACCACTCTGTGCTGCGAAACCTGTAAAACCGTATAAACACAACTCTACGTCGTCTTCATCCTCCGAAGGTAAAGCTGAAGCAAGCTGGCCGCTGCCGACTCATTGGTGTGAACACCCCGGAGACAGTGGCTCCAAGGTGGGGGACCCCACTCCACGAGTGCTTGAAGCCATCAGCAGGTTTGAGGCGGCTTGCGCGATTGTTTTGAGCTTTGGGATACATGGGAGTTTGCGAAAATTAGGGGTACCTTATTCAGGGGTCCTTTTAATAAGGATCCAATTATCGAGCGTGCTATTATTCGGGTCCCCTCTTAGTCGGAACCTCCCATGCATTGGCCCATGTGTGGAATACACAGGTCTGGGATGAAGCCAGGGGGAGTCGATTCTCAAGACTAGATAACCCCAGGGGTCAGAGTACCCATAGTTATCATACACTCTCCAAACTCCTAAGGTCCTAACCGACATAACTACTATCCTAAAGCCGAGCACCTAATTATTGGGTCCTTTGGACCCTTAGGGATAATGTAGAAGCCCAAAAAGTTGCCAATATTATTCTATGGGGTTCCTTACTATAAGAATGTAGGAGCCCAAAAAGCCTGTTCTAATTAGTAAGGCCCCGTACAGTATGCACCGTCTATTCCGAAGTTGTTGTCATAGGGCCGGCCTCATAGTCCTTGGAATGCACGGGTCTGGGATGAAGCCTGAGAGACTCGATCTTCAAGACTAGGCAATATACACCGTCTATTCTGAAGTCTTTCTCGTAGGGCGGCCTCAAGCCACCCGTCCAAACGCTTACGCAAAACCTGTTGCGCCCTCTAAAACACGAAGAGCATGTGTACCCAAATATTCCGTCGTAAGCAATTCTGAGCAAGGCACGCAACCAGTTGTCGCGCAGGCAGAAGGAAGGTGCCCCGCCCGACTGCTATGGGCCCGAGGCATCGGCTCTGACCAAGGGCCTGTGGCCAGGCTGCCATTGAGTCCTTAGGCTTGATGCTGTGAAGTCACACAATATATCCATATTCCAGGCTGTAGGCAAGGAGAAGTCAACTCACTTGTTTGTATGTTTCATGGGAACTCAAATCAATGCCGGGGGCCAGCCAGTGTGCAACCAGTGTTCTGTGTAGCACATCCATAAGTCCTACCTTCCAGCGTTTCATCAACCAGTTAGTATACTACCAAGTTAGAAACCCGCGGAAGATAATGGGTACAAGCTTAGAAGCCATAAGGCCCATGCCCAAGATGTGAGAATTCCAATGAAGTGTTGCGAGGCTGACACCCTGAATCGAGAATGGATGCTGCAAGGGCTGGGGTACGCTCTTGGAGAGTCACATCTTTGACCTTGGGACACACACTCGGCCCTTAACGCTAAACCCTAAACCGTCTGTCGAGGCTACCGCCGGGCAGCAAGGTTCGGATCGAGTTCGATGTGGAGCCCAGGGACAAGTATGGCCGACAACTCGTATATGTTTACAGGCATCTAGTGCTGGCACCCGACCCCAAGCTTTGAATTTCCATGTTGCTCTCAGATCCCAAAATCGATCACAAGTAATTGTCTGATTTTCCTGGCTTGACGACTTGTTGCCAGTTATATAAATTCGGCAGAGCATAACGCCGTAGGTCCTGTATGCGTCCGCTGAAGATCTTTTGTTGATGTCCCATCATGCTCATCAAATTGCAAGCCGGTCACGCGTCGTTTCTGCAGTCAAGAGCTCCGGGTGAGGCTCTCACGGTCAGAGTAGGAAAGCCGACAGTAACGGGACCTGCACCTTTGCTGTCTCTTCTTGTGTTGTGTTTGCTTTTGTTGGCCGGATCCTTTAGACCGTGATCAGCGACAGCTGGTCGAGGGCGAACGACGGCCTCTTCATCAACGGCGAGTTGGTAAAGGAGGGCGCCGCAAGGCATGCCGGATTGTCGAGTCTAGTTTTGGCACGTGTTCCAGGCAGCTTGAGGCTTGAAGTGCGTAGCTCTTGGTGCTGAGCATGGTCTCAGTGTGGAGCAGGTTCTGCTTGGAGGCATGGTCTTGTGCAGCACTATAGCATCTTTTCTTGGCATTGTCCGTGGGTGAACCCGTCGAGGCACTAGCGGAGTATTGCGTTGCATATCTTTTGGGCTTGGCCGAGGTCGGGTTAGGTGCTATTTACCTATACGCCTTAAAGTTCAAAGCCCCACGGAGCTCTCAAAATCTGAGCTACAAGCCCTATATACTAGACCCTACACCACACGATGAATTGCCAGCAGGCGGCTGCGGATTCCACCCAACGTGCGGTACGACGACTTCTTCACAAAGCTGGACGGGGGATTCCATGCAGCACCCGCACATACTCAGTTCCCGTCATTGAATTTCCTTAGATACCTGTCCAAGGTTGTTTGTGTCAGCGCCCGGCAGGCTTTCACCTCTATCCAACTGAACAAGAGCCTACATGCTCGTACAGAAATCCAAGAGTTACTTGGGATTCATCGCTCCGCGATCCCAAAAGCGGCTTGGGGATGCGAGTAGGACCCTAAGCCCTAAACCCTAAACAATTAATAATTGTTCCAAGTCAGGAGCAAGCCCGCCAGCCTGCCTGCCCAAGAGGCCTCTCCTTCCACACGGGCAGTTGGAAAGAGGTGTCAACAGAAAGCCCACAGTGAGGAGACCGATGCGCGGGCGACTCGCATGGGGCTGTGCCTTAGTTGCCATGCGGGAGTTGCCCAAAATTAGGGCTACCTTATTTTGGGTCCTTATAATAAGGATCCTACTATTTAGGGTTTAGGTATACCCTAAACTCCAAAACGCTAAACCTTAAACCCTAAACCCTATTAGGGTCCCTATTTTCGGAAAGCCCCATGTCTACTTGCACCAGGTCGAAGAGCTCTGACCGGGTTCGGAGACTAGGGTTCAGGGTTTTCAGGGTTTTTGAGGGTCCTTTTAGGGGTTCCTATAAGGAATACTCTCAGGGATCCGTAAGGGTACTATAAGGGGAGAAGCGTTTAGAGAACTTTAGAGGTTGGGGTTGGGGGTCGCCAGGCTCGGAGGGGCTAATTAGGGGCTTTCAGGCAAGGTTCCGGGCTCAGGTTTTCAGAGTTTCAGGGGTTTAGTCCGGTGTAGCGTTCAGCGGTTCAGGATTTTGCCGACTTCCTTAAGAGTAGAATCCTGCGCAGGGTCCATGGTGATGCTTCCGTTTCTACACCTACCCCTGTCACCATCTGCACACCGAAATTTTCAACCACCGTATTAAGTTGTCCGAGCCCAGTACTGGTAATGAATTTGGGGTCAGGTCGTGTATCTGGAACGATTCCGTGGCAATTCTGCCTGGTACGGGCCTGCATGATCATATTGAGAGTATGTCACTTTCATCGCACTCAGTCCTACCACGGTTTTATCGCACTTACTCCTACGGCGGTCCGATGACTGAATATTTAATCCTGCCGATATTACTTTTAGCAGCAGTCTCCTTGCTCCTGGAGGCAGACGAGGCACAAGTGATGATGTTATCGACGACTCGAAGCTCGAAACCTCCCCACCGTCCGCGTCAACCGCAAATCACGAGCCGAGGTGGAAATCATGCCCTGCCGGGGCTGTGGCGCCTTTGATCGCCAAACCACTTGTGGACCCCAAGGACAGGACAGGAAATTATCCGAAAAGCAGAAGTGCTGCATTGTATGCAGCAGCAGCAACAAATAACGATACACTTGCGCCTGCATGCGCGCTTGTTTAAAAATACCGACAGACAGACATACATACATACATACATACATACATACATGCACACATACACACATGCGTACATTACATACATGGTAGCACTGCGCGGGTTCTGCTGTAAGACCATACGAAGCATTAGCCCGCCGCACGCCAGCAGCGCAGCTCCTGTGTTGGTTCTGCTCCGGCCCATGCGCTCCCAATCGAACCAGACTTTAAAAAGCTCTTAGGATATAGCTCCGAGGGGATATTCAAAACAACGCATGGTCCTTATTGAGTCATTTTGTTTAAGCGGGCGCTTGAGCAACCATGCTGCGCTAACCTCTCTTGCAATGAGCACCATGCGACGGCCTGTTATCGAGACTTTAATGCGTAGTGTTTTTTGTGCTGCAGCTGAAGCATCAACCCCATCTGTCACGCACGCCTTAGGCACACCTTGCATCTGGCGAGCAGCCTCGCAGTCATTTCTTGGGTAAGTCGTGCGATATTGCATAGCAACTTCACTTGACTGGCATACTCGTCGGTAATGACCCAATGCTACAGAAACCGTCAGCATATTGTTGTTTGCCGATAGCTGCCGGACGCGGAAGTGCCCTGGTGCAGCGATGAACTTGGTTCTGCTCCTATACCAAGAAGTAGAAGAGATCAACAAGACTGGCTTCCTCCTCCTAGCCGCCACAGACCGTCGTGCACGGCACATTGTTACTGTTCTCAAGCCGACCCCTGGGGCCACCATCCGTGTGGGCTGCGTGGGAGTCGGCGTGGGGCGTGCAAGTGTGGTCGTGCTGGAGAGAGGTGAGGTTCGATTGAGCCCAGAGGCCGCAGGTGGCTCCGAGTCAGCTGGCCAGCTTTGCTTGTTGGCTACACCTTCACAGCCGCACGTGGAGCTGCTTTTAGCCATGCCTCGTCCAAAGGCTGCTTGGCTTCGGTCGGTGTTGAGCTTTCGCCCCGACGGATAGACATGCGGGCACTCGTCGACCAAGGCAACGGCGATTGAACGTGAAGCTGCACCCTTTCCCTAACAGGGCCTATGTGGATCGTAGGTCTTTGCCCACTCAGATCTTTGAACGTCTTTTGGGCAAGATAGCGAGGTTCTCTTGCATCACATGGCCCCACCTTGAGAGTGACTTGCCAGGTTATGATGAGGTTGTGGTCCGTGCTGGCACAGCTTGGCTTGCGGCGCATCGTGCTGACCAATGCGTGGCGCGTGGAAACCACGGCAGCGATTCTGTTAGAGCATTTCGCCCGGTCTCATCTTGGTTTGGGTTGGCGAACCCGCGGTACTGAAACAAAAGGGTGTGAGAGCTGAAAGAAGCATTGTCAGTTCTTGCCAGCAATTAAATGTGAGCCAGAAGCCAGAAGCATGCAACGACCTCTGCAGCTTGAGCCGCCTTAATGCGCACGGTATCGCACGTGTCCGTTTCCGATCGTTCGATTCACGTGCGTGTGCCTTTGACCAGCTTGTAACACCGAACCGTCGCAAGACACTCCAAGAATCGAACAAGATCTGCAAAGTCGGTTTGGCCAAGGAGAAGCCCTACTTCTCTTCCCAAGCCACAGATCCAAGCAAATACACACCAGAGCTGCCACTTTGATCGAGTCAGCAAAAGCTTTCTAGGCTTTAAGGTGAAAGAGCTTCAGAGGCTGCCCACGACGACATGGATGCAGGATTCGGAGCAAGTGAAGGCTGCATTTCACCTCATGTCCCTGCACAAAGCTCCATATGCAGACGTCAGCATTTATTTCTACGTAAAAACTTTTTGGAGCGGCGGGATGGTTCCTAAGACTCCGTGAATGTGGGCTGACGGTTTCCCTGACATGCGTAGATGCTCACTCAGTCCTGCTGTGCTACTACCACCACCAATACCAGCACCGGCACCAGCACCAGCACCACGACTGCTGCGGCTGCTCCTGCTGCTGCTACTACTACTATTATTACTACTACTACTACTACTACGACTACTACTACTACTACTACTACTACTACTACTACTACTACTACTACTACTACTACTACTACTACTACTACTACTACTTTCACCACTACTACCGCTACTACCGCTTCGACCACCACTACCACTACCACGAATACAGACTACTACTGCTGCGACTACTACCATCACTACTTCGACGACCACCACCGCCACCACCACCGCCACCACCACCACCACCACCACCACCACCACCACCACCGCTTCTATTACTTATACTTGGCATGCAGGACAATGCACCAGCCGGTTGCTTTTCCTGTATAGAGTGCAATACCCCCCTTCAGTTTGCTCTCCTTTACAGAGAGCAGCTCGTTGACTGATCCTCACAGTCAAGAACATGATTTTCGTCAGCATCATAACAGCAGCATCATGACGGTCCAGTTGGTCACAGTAGCATCGCAACTAAGGCTTGAGGGCCTGGAGCAGGCTGTTTGCACGACTCTGCCGGAAGTTCAGGTGGAGTTTCTCTTTCTGCGCTGCATCAATAAGCTCTTTTTTGCTAGTCATGTTATTATAAGCTGGATTCCGAATTTGAAAGCCAAGCGGCACAGTGTTCTTTCAAACCGGATCATTTTGCCATTGTTGTGTTCGGAACTCTGGTATCAGTAGCTTGAAGGATCCAGCCATGTGTTTCCAACTTCAGCATTCAGCCCAGGTTGCGGCTGAAGCCCTTTGTGGAAGATGCCCTTGACACCCTTTTTCCGTGCCCGCGCTTCCTTCGCCTGCTGTGCCATCCGGGTGATGCTGGAGCAGCGCGTCTGTTTTCCAGCACTTGCGAGCAGCAGCTTTTATGGTGTTCTTGCATGAAGGTCGAGTCTTTGTGTGTGCTAGATGCATCGAGATGAGTGTTTCCTGAAATGCAACAGATCAGCTTCGGTCAAGCCGGCTGTATGTTTGGGGGTCTTGATTCCGACCTGAATTTGCTATCATTAGTCTGTTGCATATAAGTACGGGCATAAACTTCCATCAGCAGCACAATGTCGGCACTGATCATTCGGGTCGCTCATAGCTGTGTCATGTTCCCGTGCCCGAACCCTTCCTAAAACCTATACCCCGGGCCAGGCTGAACTAAATATTCCGAGATCCGACTTGTCTTCCGGGTAATACTGGCATTCACAACGCAGGGCTGTGAGGCTTCGCAGCCGCAGCATCCGGGTCTCGGAGGGGGGAGTTCGACCCTCAAGAGGCCTGGGCTTACCTGGCTTCTCCCAGCTGTCTGGCACCGAAGCCCCTCACCAAGGTGCCACAGGTCCCTAAAACCTATAAGCCCTAACTTAACTTTGGTTAGTAGGGAATGGAAGAATGGTAGTAAGAGTAGTAGTTATATAATTGTACCCCACTCCTTCCTAACCCAAGGTAAGCCCTAAACGCAGTCCCAGGTACCCATCCATGAGGCCATTCTTCAAGCACAAGCGTGTGGACGGCGGCCCGAGGCCGTGCTTTTGGCAGCCCCCGCGGCTGCAAGCCAATGACATATGGGTGGTTGTCAATATTATGGTCCCTTTTTGGGTACCCTAAATACTAGGTGCCGTATTATAATAGGGACCCCAAAAGGGAGCCTAATATTGACAACCACCCATATGTGACTATTGGTTTATGGCTTCAGGGTTTGGGTCTCGTGTTTAGGACTTACGGCTCAAGCATTTGGCTTTGCCGTCTGGCCTTGCAAAGAACATCCTATACTGTAGAAGTCTTGCCGTCACCTCTATCTCCTTGCTTGCGCACAATCTGTTCGTCGTTAGTGTCGCTGCCATGCGCAGTCTCGTCAGTGACTTTTCGAAAGTATTGTATAACACTTAGTATTTGTGAGGTTGGAGGCTTGTGTTTACAGTTCTGAGGCTCTTATCTTTTTTTGGCCAAGTCACTCTCAGCCCCACGGGGCTTTCGAGAACAATGTTGCGAGCAACAACGAGCAAAGCTATTCAACGCTCGAGATCGACGAATTAAGTTCTTCGGTGGCGAATCATGTTTCTTTTAAGGGGAGGTCCATTCGGGAATAAAGGCTCCCGCAACGCCATGTAGGCTCTGCTTCTGGCCGGCTTCGGACTACATGTCAACTGCATTAAACTGTGAGGTAGGTTGAATAAAGTCGCGATAAGAAATTCGGTGTCATGCCACTGCTTGGCAAGTCCGACTCCAGCAACCTTTGCAGGTGAAAAGGCCGACAGTCGCTTCAAGTCTTTGAACCGCTGCACAGGCACATGATTTTGTTTGAATAACTTCAACACTGCATTGCGAAATGCGGCGGCGAGCTTGCTCATGCAAACTCCCTTCATCGAGAAAACCCCCTACGCAACCATACTTGGAAATGAAATCAATGGTAAGTTCAACCCAAGTTAAACCCTCCTGCCTGACGCCAGTGCGGTACCAAACCGTTTCATTAAAGTACTCTACGAGAGCTTGCGCGGCTAAGAGGGGAATCTTTCTGGGTCCCTTGATTAAGGAAGAGTACGAGTGTAGGGGGATGCTGGACAAATGCCATTGCTGACACAACTTGGTTTGGTACGACGCGTACCGAGTAGCAACTTTTGCTCGAAGAGCGTCAGGAATAGGAACATTCTTAGAGATACATCTGAGGCTCTTATCTAATCTTGTAAATTCGCACGCCTGAAAAAAGGTTGGCCCAGAGGGTGGATGGGTGGACTACGAAGTGGAGATGTTCCGGAAGCACGGCTTTGTGCAGGTGGGGGCCAGGGTCTTCTTTCAAAAGCTTACAAACCCAAAGGGTCCAAGTATCATTGTGGTATAGTTAGATCCCCAAAATACCCTGTAAGTATATGCCATAATGATACTTGGACCTTGTGGAAAAGCGAAAGAAACTGTTGGAAGGGGCTTATAAAGCCTTTGAAGCCTTAAACTCATGGGCCTCCTAAGCTTTCCTTCAGGTCTCGTTGGGGAGCCGAATCCTGACCACGGATGTGGCGCTGGTGTCTCTGGTCGCCCTGACCGTGGATAGCCTCGCACGAGTGGCTCCACAGAAGGCACAGTACATGGCAAAATTTCGCAAAATATTTTTGAAGGTTAAGTCGATATTTCATCGCACTCAAGCTGACCTCCGAAGCACTACAGGCACACCGGAGTTTGCCTGCAAGGGCTGCAGATGCGCTGGCTCGTTTGGTACCGTGCTGCTAGCTTCTTGCTATTCGGCGGAGCAGAGCAAAAGGAGCAAAAGGAAAGCATCCATCCCCTAAACCCTACGCCGAGTGCTGTCGCTGGGACTGGAATCCTCGCCAAGGCTTGTCCGAGAGTGGTTGCCGAAACCGAGTCCGAGTTGCGAGAGCAAAAACCCTAAACCGGTCGCACTGGCCGCATGCATTGCCACAATCGACTCGTCGTCGCTCACGCCTTAAATGCTCGGTTACTGTAGGGGCATCAGTAGTTACCTACACTATTTTGGGGGTTCCTTATTCTAACTCTAGTAGACTATACACCTAAACCCTATTCTAACTGTTAAGGCCCCTATATTATGAGGTACCGTTCACCTTTGAGCAACGGAACCAGAAGTCCCGCAAACCCCGGAACTCCGTGGAAACGGAAGCTTGCCCCTTGACGGATAGCATGAAAGAAACGCAAGCCCCGCAAGAGAGTAGATGAGTTCTCCTTCTTTGAACCCGAGTCTTCACCGAGGGGAGGTACCCGAATCGCTGGAGATCTGCAGTCTCTTGCGTGGCAAGTTCTACGTCCCCCAAAAAGTATAGGTAACTATTGCAAGGCCCCTATACTAAGTCCTTGTACTAGCCCTTATAGTAACCCTTGAAGATTGAACTCCATATTGTAGCTTCTGGCAATTTCACCAGGGTTTGCCACAGGGTGGACAGAGGGTTCCTGCTTGTAGCGCAAGTTACCTCGCAGGACGCCACACTTGAATCTCACGGCCCCAGAGCTTGGCAGCAGCATATGACAAAGCCCCGTCGGCCCCCCCCTTGTAAACTTCAGCCTTACCCCAGGACCACAGACAGTGTTTTGGGTGTAACTGTTGAAAACCACATTTAGCAGAGAAAGCTGTCTACGAAGCGAAAGCAGAAGCCCAAACCTGAAAGGTTTATTGCATTTCATTCAATCATCTCCAAGACCATGAGTATCTTCCTCTGAAGATGCATGAGTTGTGGAGTCTGAACATTTGCAGATACCGATGTCCGCAGACATGGCTCGGAGGCATGTACGTTCACTTGTTTCTACTTCGATCAGTCTTGTGGGTCTTTTAGTTTACCATGTGATCCAGCCCGGTGCAGGAGCTGAAGAGAACCACATGCAGGGATTTCTCCACCTACCAGGAGGCGAAGGCGGGGTGGGCGAGCGGGCATTCCCACGGCATGCATACAATGTATGTGTGATTTATGTAATTGTATCTATATGTATGTACATATGTTTTTGTTTGTACGCATGAATGTACGTATGTATGTGTGTTATGCATACTGCAAGCCTCGGTTTTCCTTCCGACATACACACACACACACCCTCTCGCAAAGGGAAGTGTACTCGAATGTTCAGTGTGAGATGCGTCTGCATCTCTTCCAGTACCATGTTCTGCCGATGATGCTGCACTTACAACTTGTCCATGTATCTTCATGTTGCGAACACAGTGACGTGGGATATGTCACCGTTGACTGTAGTGCAAGCATTGCTTATCATTTTCTTCGCTGTGAGCTTCCTGCATGAGTCGAGGAACTGCCCGTCAAACCTGCCAAAGACAGCCATGAGGAAAGCTGTTGGCTTGTTATCCGTCACGCGAGGCTTGGTTCGACAAGTACTTTCCCCAGTATGGTGACGTGGCCGGCCTGGACGGCGACAAAGATGGCAAGCCGTGTGAGAAGCTTCTAAGGAGCAAGTGAGGACTGATCGAAATCTGTGATTATTAGATCTATTCTTCTTGTTATTATCTGCTGGTAGTTAACATTACTGTTATTACTCCTCACGTTCTGTGAGCCCTGGACAAGCCATCGTGTTTGAACTGTGTCGAAGCTCGGTATTGACAAGATTGGAACTCTCGTGTGCATGTTTTTAATTCCTCCCAACTTGGGGGCTACGCGGTTTGAAGCTGCGAGCCTGGGATTTGTTCTTTCGGGCCCTGAGCATCATTTTGCCACATCGTCTCACCGCAGCCACGGACACACGAAAAGATGCATGCGCTGGTGTTTTGGTTTGATGAGCTCGTCTCCAAGGTCGAAGCCGGTGTCATGCAGCCTGACAGCAGGACATTTTCATCGCACTGGCCCACCACACAACTCTAGGCTCCGCCGAACCCTTCCATTGGACCAGAGCTGGATGATTTTCAGGACGAGTCAAGACCAACCTTCTGCAGCTAGGGCATGAGACACCGTATGGCATGGGCGAGTTTCAAAATTGATCCAAAGGTCTTGCGAACGCAGAAACGCAGATGTCAAGTCAGCGGGTGTTGACAGTCAGCACGCTAAGCCTCAAGTTCTACATCATCATACAAGGGGCTACCTGTCCAGTAGAAACGTCTTAAGTTTGCGCACATCCACAGTGGTTTTCTTTTCCTCTCCTTTTCCAGCCCCCAAGGCTTACATTGGAGCAGTCTTCCCTGATCGTCCCTCTACATATTGTTTCATGTCCCCCGAGCGTCCCCGTACTCTCCATAGCTGTAGTATATTGTTCCCCAACTCATCCAGACCCTGATATCCCACCCCAAACCCTAGGCCCCTGATTCGTAGTTTTCTTCTATAATCTCAATCCAACACATTTTCCGATTCGTACCCTGAAATGCGGGCTTCGTCCTTGCTCGGCGTGATGCAACAACCCCTGATTCAGACTGCAATAGAGTCAATAGAGCAAGTAGATTCTACAGTATTATTATACCCCGAAGCACTTACTCCACTGATCCAGATTAGGCCGTGAACATCTTGCTTCAGGCAGCTGCTAAGCTGGAAGGCTCTGCCGCTCAATGAGCTGCCTCGAGCTTACTTTAATTGTTACCTTGAACCACAAAAACCTTATCTTTTGTAGGGTGCCTTTCAGTTCTTTTATGGGTTTTGAAATCAGAACCGAAAACAAGACTACGAAAACTGGCTTCTGGTGGTCTGAGGTAATTGGTGGTGTGTTTTGGGGTTTAAGGTTCAGGGGTTGGTGCCTGCGCTCAGAAATGGTTCAGGGGTTTGTTCATATAGAATAGGCCTTCAGGACTCAGGTATTTTGGGTCAGAGATACCGTCTTTCTTTTGCGGTCATTCGAACCCGTGTTCTTCATAATTGTTCTTTGGTGATGTCTTCTTTCTGATAAGATAGTCTTCGCGCGCCGTCACTATGTCTTGGTTATCCTGAAAAAAATCACTTCCAGGTCCTTGTTCTCATTGCAGCCGTAGTCGAGCAGCGGCAGTCACAGCACTATTGAAAAACATTGCTGTCCAGCGGCCATGCTGGACCATGCTGTGTTATTCACGCGAGCCGCCGCCACCAATATGCCAACAGCGGCTCCTGCTGCTACGACGACGACGACTACTACTACCACTACGACTACGACTACGACTACTGCTGCTACTACTACTACTGCTGCCACTGTGCCGCTGCTGCTGCGGCTGCTGCTGCCATTGCTACTACGATTAGAGAGACTATGACGGCAATGTTCTCGCATCGCGATCCAAAGACGCTCAGCAGATCTTCGGGGCAAGTGCAGGCTTTCAAGCTTTCGGAGTTTTCGAGGAGATCCGCTGCCTTCGCTTAAAACTGAGGAGCTCAGGGAACTTGAAACCGAGGATGTTCCACCGCTTGAAGGCTTGAGGATCTGGTTCCTGCATGCCCTCGCTGGGAATAGTTTGGGTGCTTTCCCACGGCGAAAGGTTTCCGACGACAGCAGTCACGCCCGAATCTAGCTTGGAATCGAGACAGCTCTGTGTCCAAGGATTTTAGAAGCCTGGGCTCGCACACGAGACAGAAGGCTGCTAACCCAGTAGAACCCTAAGCAGCACAGTAAAACGCACACTCACATTTCTAGGTTCTTCGCAGCTAAACATGGAATCGGATGTGCTCTAAGCCACAACCGACAGCGCTGAGACCGTACATTTCTGCACTTGTTTCCGTGAGCAAGGCGCAAGGAATGCCATGATGCAGGGATCTCACACCGCTCGGTGGGCGTCGCGTCCGAGCCCTAGCACTTCTACTTGTAGGCTTTTCGAGGCTTCGGACGCTATGGTTGGCGATGGTTTGGTCTTAGGTTTTTTTGGCCAACTGTTGGCTCTAGCTGCGAAAGGGATTGCGATTGTGCAGTGAACTCCTCTTGTAAGGGATCCAGATCTTATAGTCCTTCCTTGTGCGATTAGCTCCATGAATAGGAGATGAGTCCTCCTGCGAACGGCCCAAGCGGAAGCGGGGGAGTATGAAGGGCTGGACGCGAAGCACTGCGCCAAGCTCCAAGTTCCGAAGGCACCATACGGGTCTTCAGCACGGTGCAGCTTCCGAGACGATAATTCGTATCTTAAAAGTAGATCCTTGGCTCAATCTTTCGGAGTCTCTCAGCTCCGGTAGCACGTAGCTGAAACTGAAACCCAGAGCATCTCAGCAGGTGGGATCTGGAATATCTGGATTCTAGGGTCTTCTATACTCCAGAATCCTAAATCTTGCACCCTAGCCTGACCCCTAAACCCTCAATCCTAACCAGCCCCCAAAACCCTAAACCCTAACACCCCCCCCTGCAACGCGGGCTTCGTCCTTGCCAGGTAGGAAGGACCCCCCCCCCCCCCCTCTCATTCTACCGACCGACCCCGAGGCTCTCCGACGAAGAGAAGAGAGCGGAGCTGGTGGACAGGCTCGTTCTGAGCAGGTCCGGATCTTGGGGTTCTTTTCTTTTGTAGCTGACTAGGTGGAGCTGTGGAAGTTTAGAAGTGTAGAGGCTAGATGATGTTCTGCTTGGGACCTAGATTGAGGCTTCGGGGGTTGGCCCCTGCTGGTTGAGGGTGGTTGTGTTCAGAACATCGCCTCAACTTCCCAGCGATGCACTGCCGTTCAACACCCCAAGCTCTAAAGCTGGGTTATTGAACCCTTAAGATTCACCGGCCTCGGCCTACTTGTAGCATCCTCATGCATCAGCGACACGGACAGGAAAAAGCATTGCCATGTATGGGGCCTTGTTAATCAGAAGAGGGTTCCTGTAAGGGTGGCTTTCAGGGGATATTCACACTGTTATTATAAGGGTTTTAGATTGTTATTATAAGGCTTTTGCATAATTAGGGCCCTATATCCAAGGAACTCAGAGAATAAGCATGGTGTCAATGCTCTAAACTCACTCAAGCCCCGGGACCCAGCACCCCAGAAGTCTAGCAGCACCCTCAGTAATTAGCTTAAACCCTTAGGCCCTCAAGCCCCGAAGCCCGCAGAATGCTCAAGAGATGAAGGTGGGCTGAGCACTGGAGCGACGAATACCCGGTAGGTCGCTTCGGGACAATCCGTGCTGCGCTCAGGGCAGGGTCATAACGTACGACTTTAGAGATATCCTCATATACCCTCCTTCCAGACACATAGGTTTTGACATGTTTACCCTTGTAGCCAACTGGCACAACCTCTAAATGCTAGATAGACCCGTAGCCCTAAACCGTATACAAACCCTCTAAACCTTTCCCAACCGTATAAACTCTCTACACCCTCCAAACCCTATAAACCCGAAAACCCCTATAAGCCCTACGCCCTATAAACCCTACACGCCCTATAAACCCGATGAACCCTCCTTGCCAGGCTTGTCCGAGAGTGAGTGTCAAAGCTTAAAACCCCGACACTGTCGGAAGTTGCTTCAGACCTTCTTACAGTTATTAGTATAATTGTAGTGGGCCCCAAAACCCCATTCTGATTGTTACGGCCCCTACATTAAAGAACCCTACTATAGATCCCTTTAAGGAACCCTATTCTAATCATTAAGGCCCCTGCATTAAACTCTCGAAACATGGGCGCCCAGGCTCTGCCCGAACTTTTGTCGAGACGATGCAGCGCTTGGCCGGGGACCCAAAGCTGCTGCGGGCTTTCTTACTATCTGGGCCTTTCTAAATCCGTGTTATGATGATTTTGTAGTGGGCCCCGAAACAATGCCCCTATAGTGCCCTAGATACCCTCGATTAAGGACCGTAAGGGCTCCATTACAGGGCCAGTGGGGGGTCGTAGTTAAGGAGGTTTCGTTTTTCTTTTACCGCTTACGGCCTAGGGTTTAGTACGGATTAGACGTCCTGATAAGGTTTAGTCGAGTTTTTATTAACGCGCCTCAAGCGCAGGATGTTTGAGGAGGTGACTTGCTACAATCCCAAGGGATGGTTGCAAGTCAGTGCCTGAGCCTGCGAACCAGGCAGGAGGAATGAAAAGCGCATAAAGGCGCAGCTGTTAGCGTAGATTCTTATGGCGTGTGAGGTGCCTAAATCACATGTCTGCGTGCCTGCATGTCCGTATCCACCACCGGCGCCGTGCCACTTCGGCCATACGTTGTCGTTCGCGATCAACGTTCCTATTCATGACCTGGTTGTAGGTTGTTGCCTTTGTTTGATTGTTTAGATTTGCAACATGAACAACTGAACTACCGTTGTTTCCCATGCACTGGGTTGAACTTTTCGTCGTCGTAGGCTGTTGCACCCGAGCCATGCGTGTCAGCATATTGTCGCACGAGCGATCAGGTTGGACGGGAAGTCTGGCTTCAAGCAGAGTGCAGCACTCAGCCGGTCAAAGTTGTGAAGTGGTCCGGAATTGGGGTGGCAAGATGGCCTTTCAGGCTTGAGCGGTTGTCACTATTGCTGCATATTATTGTCTGCCAAAGTATTCTATAGTATGTCACTGCAAGACTGCAGCCTCTGATGCCTAGTAGCTTTTGCAACCGCAGGCTCGCCTCGGCAGTGGTCTCAGCTTCAAAGCCGTTCTGACGCCAACGTGATCCGACATATTCCGGGATGATGCTGGGCCAATGATGCTTAGGGCTAAGAATTTGGTTTATGGCTCCGCATTTTAGAGTGATAAGTTTGATGAGGTGTGTTGTTGGCGTGGAGGCTTAGGCCCGTTCCAGATTTACGACTTCTGTTGGATCGCCCGGGGTAAGGTGAGAGCAAGGTTAGGGTTGCGAGCTGTAGAGGGGATTCCACGGAAAGTGCATGAGAGGCGTTGCCATTGAAGCCGCGAGTTGCATTCGGATTGGCGTCATGATTTATTTGGGCGGCTGCATCTCAAAGACAAACTGCGGTTTTGCCTTCCAGGTGTCCGGCTTGCCTCAAGAGGCCTTTGGTACCATGACGCGCCAGGCCATTTGAGCGTCATCGTATATCGCATGCGAGAAGTATTGCAACCTAATCAGACATTCGCTTTTTCAAATTTCATAGCTCTCATGTCTCACTGCGCGGCAGATGAGGGGGGGGGCAGGACGGGCAAGAAATTCGCTCGCACCACTACCCGGTTAACACACCATGCAGACTTTGATCGGTTCTAGTCGTTGTTCAACAAATCCGTGTAGCCAGAAGCCTTCCAGCATCATGGAGCTGCCAGCTGCGCGGTGTCCAATCCAGACAGGAGTTGGTGGAGAACATCAAGAAAGTCTTGCTTTGGAAGGCCATGGTCACAGCCTTCAGCTTAGGCTTATGTTCCTGCTGAACAAGTTCGTAGCTTGAGTGTGCCAGGAGTTGCCGCTGGACGACCTGCAAGACGAATGTTTGCAGCTCTCTCTTTCCTGGAGGGTGGGCCAGGCCTTTGCGGCATCGGCAATTTTGTGGTGTTCGGCGGACGCTGGCAGTTTTGAGATTGCAGCTTGATGACATAGGGCAGCAGCTTCGGGGATTTTACACTCGGAGGGGCGTGTTGAGCGAACTCAGCCTCTTTGAGCTCAGGGTTTGGACCATTTGCGACTATAAAGGATCGTTTCTTGCGGTTTAGTGCTTGGCGCGGTTTTGGTTCCAGATGGAGTTTCAATTTCTTGCAGTGCTTTGGGAATCATAGCCAAGAAGTGTTGTAACGGGTTTTTATATTGTTGTCGCTTGCATTTCACTTTGGATGATAGCGCGGTTCCACTGTTCCATTTGCTTTGTACTGTTGCTTGGGCTTCAAGTTCAGACGGGCCGTCGTGGTTTTTCAAGTCAAGCGTTCGCCGGGCCATCAGATATCTAGCTGAAGCGCCTCGATCAGGCGCACAGCAAACTTCGTTCAACTGCCATGTCGGTTTCATGTACAGCTGCACCTGCGGAGGTTGCGATCAATCATGTCAAGGACTTGGCGATGCAGCGGCGACAGCGAGCAGCAGGGACTTTGGCAGACATATTCGAAATGAGTGCTCTGCCAGCAGGCGCGGTGGAGAAGCTGACTGCTGCACTGCAAGATCATGCCAGAGTTGCAATTCATTTTCATCCGGACCGACTAGTGAGCGGTGGCGAGACAGTGGCAGGATCCTTGTTGGCCACAGGCTGCATCCAGAGCCAGTTCGAGTCGCAGATCTCCAACGGCAGAGTTGATTCGGCTCCCGGCGGAAAGCGAGACCAGTGGGAGAATCGATTATTCGGTGGTGCCTATGAGCAAGCCGCTCCCAGCTTGCGTCCAAAATATGGCGCTTTGTGTCTTCTCGGGCAGTCAGACGGCCCTGCCCCACGTTTTGGCTCTTGTTACTTTCTGCTCTCCCCTGATGCAACCAAGCGAGCTACCTTTTGTTACGGCGACTCGCATTTGGATCCGCCCGCTCGCGGAACTTACGAGGTTTGGGAGGACATCCTGTCTGAACTGTTCCAGGAGAGCTTCACCAGGGACGGAGCATTGGGCATCGGCTTGCGTCCTCCGGCGCTTGCAAGTCGCATCTTGGACGTTCTTCATTCACCCCTCAGCGACAAGTGGAGCTTCCCAGCAGCAAGGAACCTCGATCACTACATTGAAGCGCAAGTGCATGGTCAGCTTGAGTTGGGGCCAGATGTTGATGCCTTATTCGCAGATCCATCGTTCAAAGGTACCTCGGTCGGTGCTCAGTTGCAGAGCATAGCAAGCCAGTACGACATATGTCTCCATTGGCATGCTGGGTCACAGTTGTCGGTGGATGAGGTTCCGAATGACTTCCGAGGCCCCCGCATGCCGGAACTGGCGCGCATAGTTGCACCAAGCGGCATGCTGACGCCAGCATTGATAGGGGCCGCTGCTCGCCAAGCAGCGGAAGACATGGCTGTGCAAGCAGACTCAGGCCCCTCAGAAAAGGCACTGCAAGAGCTCAAACTGTTGTGGCACGTCCTGCTCCGCTATGGTTCCGCTCATGCGACGTGGGAATGAATCCCTCGGGTCGGGCTGCCGCCATATTCACAGGCCTCCCGGGACGCTCGAGCGCATTTTTTCTCGAGCTGCAGGGCTGCGACTCAGCAACAGATCGTGTACAGTGTACAGCAACGGTATCCCATGGCTCGTTGTTTGTGCGGACCTGCACCTTTGAAGCAAGCTTCTCTCGCACACACATCGTGACTGGGACTTGGAGCTTGACGGATCTCTGCACTCCGACATCAGGTTTACTGGTGGTAGCAGTTGGGTTGGGTCATTCAGCCAGGGCAGGCACGCTCTCAGATGCTATGTCGCTCGGGCTCCGGATTCACATGTAATATTGAAAACCTGCCCACTCATCAGTTCTGTTGGCCATGATGCCGGGTATCGCATCGTAGGGCGCGGGGGCCATTTGCAGGAAGGCGTCTCCGTTCGGCAACAGCACCAAGAGCTTCTGGAACGATTGGCTGCAGTCTAAGTCGTCAGATTGCTGCAGGGAAACGAGTTGGGGAGTTTGATGGTGCTTGTAATGCTTGTTCATGCCTCGCGCACATTTGACATGCAGGGCCACAGCTCAGCCAGATTAGGTGACATCACTCTCAATGCATGAGGCAATGTTTTCGCCACTCGCCGAAACACGCAAGTTTGCATGTTCATACATAAAAACATATGCATATACATACGTGCATACATGCGTATTTATGTTTACTCATGCATGTATGTATTCATTTGTTACATATTATATGTAGATATGTAGATACGCATATGTATTGTATTACATATGTATATATAGAGTACGTGTGTACATGCATGTGTACATATATATATATATATGTTTGTGTTTGTGTAGGCACATGTGCATTTGCATGTGCATGCGCGAGGTTGTGGGTATGTATACGTGTACGTACGTATGTATGTATACATCTGAACGTACACACGCAGACACAACACACACTGACAGAAACACACACACACACACAAACACAAGCACTCGCACGTTGCGACTCGTGGAAGATGCACAGGTCATGGCGACGTGCGCAAGAGCTGCGAGCTCGGAAATCAGACAAAGAGATCCGAGTTGTTACAGGCAGGCGCAGAATTTATCGATGAAAAAACACACCATGCTTTTGCGTTGTTTCATCATCTCATTCACTACACAAGTGCATCTTGACGGGAAATATTCTTAAACAATTTCTATGTCACTGCCCCAACCCGAATGAGCCACTTGTTGCACATCATGGAAGCTATTGGCAGTTTAGCAACGAAGAGCGCCGCCGACTCCATTGTGCTCCGTGTCATGTCCTGCCAAGCGTCCGTCCAACGGTATTATGCTTGAATGCCTTGACCCCATACTCCATACCATACACGGGCTCACTAAGTCACTACAGCACGCTAAAGCCCTAACCATGGAGAACCGATGGAGTTCGTCTCGTGAGATATGGAAGCCCTCGCAACATGAGACGGTGGATGCCTGACAACCATTCGACGTTGGCAAACGAGCTGAAGCTTTTTGATAAGAACCTTGGCTGACGTACAACCAATGTATAAACAAGGCCTCGAAACATCTAAAAGCTTCTTACGAAGCCAAGCCGTACATGTCAAATCTAAACCGTGCACCTACAACCCTTTGTCACGCCATGTGCCACTGCCCGTCCACGGGCAGCCGGCTGTTGGCACCAACACCAAGAGATGGCGGGCTCCCGGAGCATGCTGTTGAGGCCATTTCTTATGCGGTGGAAGGGCCCGCGTAAATGTCCGTATTACAACGGTATTTGGAAGGCACTATACTCCGAGTTTTAAGTCTTGGTTTTACGCCGTGTTAGGTGCAAGCCTGCTCACCTTAGTTGGCTGTCCATTTTCTACATTTTGGGCAAGGGAGCTATGATTCCGAGCAGCATTGCGGCCATGGCTATGTCACCGTGCTGCCTCCCTACACCTACCCGTAAACCTAAACAGTGAACCGATCACAACTGCAAAAACCACATCATCAGCTGCCGCTTCAATCTGTCAGCGCCATGCAGGATTTGTGCATTGCAGTGTTGATGCGAAGAAGAACGAAAGCGTTGTGCCAGATCTCCCGAGTGTGCACAAACGGTTGGCACCTGTTTTATTCGTGACACGAGGACACACTGTGAAACCCGAAACGAGCGTCCGACCTGTAATTGCTACTGTATGTGGATATGGCTGTTTTTGCTATCATGTTCTTGGCGGTGGTGGTGGGTTAACATTGCCACTGATCTTCACATTTCACTTAGACTGTAGGTGCTTGGGCAGGTAAAAATTTTGCTGTTGCAACTCTTTCGCACCGGGAAGCCTTCATAGAATCAAAAGCAAAAGCAAGAGCTGGGGAGTTCGGATGCGTTTGACTCAGTTGTCCTTCATGTCGCTGGGAGCCAAGTTCGAACTAAGATGTGGTGAAACAGGGAGTGGGTAAAGGTTTTGCGTGTAGCTTCGACAGCTCCTTAGACCCGAAATCAGGTTCTACCTCCGAGTCTTGCTGTTCTTCCCGTTTCCAATCTACACGGCGATCTTCACCACAGACAGCAGCCCGACGATAGCTTTTGTGTTTTTGGTTGGGTGTCCAGGTTTAGACTCGATGCAGAGCTTCGGCACATGATGATTCGCAGGGATACTGTTGTCAATCCGGTATAGACAAAACTCTAAGTCGTAAGCAGATGACTTAGGCAGGCAGCACAACTCGTCGCGAGGTTTCCTCCAAGCCATGACGCGAAGTTTGGGGTGAAGGGTCCCTGTAAAGGTTCTTTAAGGTTTGGGGTAAACCTTGCTTCCGAGCTGGAGGGTTTTCTGTTTTGCAAACGATATGTTCGTGACTAAGCATGAATGGTGAGCAAACCCCGGCATTTATGGTTCCATCATGTTGCACGCCGAAACTTGAAGCTTGTTCCCTCAAATTTGTAGTGCATACCTATACACATGGCGTATGCACACGTCTCTCATGTAACCATTGACGGTTTGGGGCCTCTCGTGTGCACGCGTTTCGGGGCTGGGAGTGTAGATCATGAGGAACATGAACCATCAAGTGTTTCGACAGGATTTTGTGGCTTCCGGTTGAACCCAGTCTCCCAGGACTCCCCAATGCTAAGGAAGATTTGCAACTCAGCCGTTCACATGTTCGTGGGCTTCCGTACTTTGAATGCATCCTATGTGAAGCCTGCGGGCAAGGGGACCGTACAATCTAAACCCCCTTAACCCTAAACCCTACCCCCCTCCCCCTCCCTAAACCCTGGATTTTGCGAAGCGAAGGTACTCTGATATTCTCACTGGCAGCGCTGTCGGTGCTGGCCATTCCGCTCCATTTCTACTGGATGCGGTGGCCTGGCTGCAAGCATTGTTACACGCTTCGGTTAGGGTTTGGGGTTTAGGGCTTGAGGGTTGAGGGAACTTGCCCCAATTACGTCCGGAAGTACTTGGACGAACCCCCGAACACATTGCTTCGAATCTGCGCTTCTCACAGCAATGGCAGCCGTCCTGGCAGCAGCATTCCTTGCTCATTGTTCGTAGTATCCCGATCGGCAGTAGAATGCTGAGCGATGAAGCCGTAGTTCTAGCCTATCAATTGAAAAGTTAAACAGCCGAGGCTATTTGTAACGCTTTTAACTACAGTAGAAGCCAAAAAGTTGGAATATGATTATCGTAACACCTTGAAGGTAAATTATAGGGATCCTACCATTAATCCATATTCCAACTTTCTGGCTTCTACTATAAAGTTAAGATTTCGAGCTCTTGGCATCCTCTCCTCGGAGCGAGTGCGAGAGTCCTCATGCTTTACCCAAAGGCCCCAAAGTAGTACCTTTTTGGGGTTCATATATAGAATCCTATAGAGGAACCACTTTGGGGCCTATGGGTACCTTTTTGGTTCATCTCGCGCTTGGAAGGAAACGATACGGGCCGTTTATCACCTTCCTGGTGTGTGTCTACTTGAGCCAGACGGCCGGCCGGGAAGCGTGGGTGGACTTACTTTCACAAGGTTCGTCCCCGGATTGAAATCGGAATTTAGATCGCAGCTTTTGCTCGACTGCACAGTACAAAGGCCACCCATAGCCAGTATTTGATTCGTGAGGCCAGTCTGCAGATTCAGACCGGAAGCTGTGTTACTGCGCATCCTGTGATTCAAAAGAAGCAGGTTTTTTGGGGTACTAGGCCTGAGTGCTAAATCAGGGCCATTGTGAAGCCACACAGTTCCATACCACAGGGGGTCCCAAGTGAACTATAACAAGCCACAGACAAACTCCACGCTTATGTAAGTCTAAACCCTACGCCACAACATCCGATGAATGGAGATATTGACCACTGCACGTCATGGCCCACAAGCAGCCATCATAAACACCTTGGCACATGCGATCTATGTTGTTAGATCCCGCATGAATCAAGTCGAAAGTCCAATTTATGGCCATGAAGATGGCGTAGCCTCAACCCGTGTATGCAGACTTCCATCCGACTCCCTGCAGGTGCTTTGCGTCACGCTTGGCCAGGCACAGATATAGGGCTCCATAGTACAGCCCGAGCCCTAAGTTCAAGCCAGGTTGAAGCCATCAAAAGCAATCCTTCTTGTAGTAGAGCGCCAAAGCTTCGACATCACGATGTTATCCATGGTGACGCCCGAACCATAGTTCCCTCGAACCCCGAAAGAGAAGTTCAAAGGGAGTCCGCAACTATGAAATGAATTTCAGTAGCCCTACGCGGTGAGCTCCGCGAATCCTAGCCTGTGAGCTTCAATCTCAAACCCGTCACCGCCCGTACTTTAACCCAGCAAGCAGCCCCATCAAAACCCCTGAAGCCTACAGCCCTCAGACGATGAAGCCCGACTCCCTGACCCAAAATCCTCTCCTCCCAACCCCAAAATCCTCAGCTCAAAGACCTGTGGAGCCGGCATAGAGTCCTTTTGTCCAACCCTTCTTCCAACCACGTGGGACCTGCACAAATCCCTAAACCCGAACACCCCTATAGTAGAACCCAGAAAGTTGGAACATCATGGTCCTCATGCCCTTACAGGAAATCCCCGCTAGCACTAGTCAATCCATGTTCCAACTTTCTGAGCTTCACTTTACTCTAAAACCCTTACCTTAAAACCCTAAACCCTTAAAGCACTAATTAAATCCTACAAACCCTAAACCCGTAAACCCTTAAAACCCTAAAATCCTAAACCCTAATACCCGAAAACCCCTGCCCGTATCTGCCTACCCTTCTCAGGTGCGCCGGGCAGCGCACCATACCGCCGAGGCCGTAAAGCCAGGCCGAAACTCAAAGATCCTTTTGAAGATGTATTTTTCGGTGATTCAGAAGCCGGAGGTTTGACAGTTTAGGCTTGCGGGGCGTAGGATTGAGGTTGAGGTTACTTGTGAGTTGAAGGCAACAAGGTTCCAGAGTTTGGAAGTTCGGGATTGAGGGCTTTAGCGTCTAGTGTTCGGAGCTCCTGGTTTGAAGCTTTACTGTGTGTGGGTTGGGGCAGAAATTAGTCTTGGATTGCTGTTACTTCTACCCCCAGCTTCTACTACTTTGGTGGGACCTGCTGTCACGATGATACATACGGTTGCTGTCTGAATTTGGCTGAACGGGACATACTGTATGTTTATATTCGGAGTTTCGAGACAATGTTCGTCCGCTATTCACAAGCGATATGTTTTGCAGTTTCTGTTGTTGCAGTTGTGCTTGTGCTTGGCCGAGTCGGTGTCTTGTCGTGTCGGTGTCGGCGTTTGTGCGGATATGGGCGTGGGTGTGGGCATGCTTGTTGTTGCTGCTGGTGTCGTTACTGTTGCTGTTGCTGCTGTTGTTTCTGCTGCCGCTGCTCCTTTTGAGAAAAGCCTATGATCCAACAAACTCCGGGTCAGAGATGTTAACTGTTTTTGCTGGCGAGATACTCCGATCAAGACCATCTCTGTCGTTATGGCGGCCCACAATGAGCATCACTACTTGAAGCCACTTGGCTGACGTGGCATTGCGGGATGTAAGCCCCGACGTACACCTCGAGTGCAAAATATAAATCCTGCAGAGTCCATGTTCCATCCCAAAGTTCGTGAATGTT